GCAATATATAATAAATGATTGGAAAATTGAGCTACTCTCATTAAAAAAATTATTTCTAACGTTTGGAAAGCTTATAAAAATGAATCAACGGAAAACCTATACTTAAATTTACGAATATGATTTCCTCTTTAGAAAATGAAAATCATTTTTTAATATATGACTAGTTATTGATGTTTTAACCATAAACTCTATGCTTGAGCACAGAAACCCCAAAACTTGTTCCCTAGTCCTTTGACAGCGAGACCGGGTCTACTGAGGGCAAGCCCGGACCTATCAAGGCATTGCCCATGACCCCAATGCCCATGTTTAGGACTTCAATGGTTGTGCCCAAGACTCTTACACCTAGGCTCGGGTCCATCGAGGCTGGGCACGAGACTCCCGTGCCAGTGCTAAGGACCCCAACAGCCATGCTCGGTCTCGAGACCCCAAGGCTTTGGTTCATATTGGCCGGTCCCGAGTCCAATGAGGCTGGGCCTCGGACCCCGGATCCCTAACGCTGCGCCCAGGTCCATTGAGGTTGGCCCAAGACCTCGGTGCCCATGCCTAGGTCCTCGGCGCCCGCACCCAAGCTTATTGATGCCGGGCCCGAGTCCATCAAGGTCAGACCCGGGACCCTAGTGCCCGTGCTTGGATCCATCCAAGCTATGCTCAGGACCCCATCGCCCATACCCGGGTCCATTGAGGCCAGGTCTCAGACCCCAGCGCTTGCGATCGGGGCGCTAGGAAGCCGGGCATTAGCATCGGCTTCTTGAGCTCGACTTCACTGGACCCGAAAATCGGTGCCCATGCTCGTGCTAAAAAGCTGAGGATCCGGGGGCCAAAACCCCTTTTTTTAGTGCCCAATTCCTCGACTACCCTTGCGCAAGTCTAGTGTTCGAATAGTGTGTGCCCATTTAGGAAAATCAAATCAGATTTTCCTTCCCAAGGATTGGAAAATATTTTCCAATTCATTCTTAGGTCTCAGCTACACCATAAAATATTGTCATTTACCCCGACAACATTTTCCAGAAAATATCATATTTTCCACAAAACAAACGCATATTAAATGTACTTATCATAAGTTTCGAGGTAAAAGTGGGTTGGCTTAATTGATAAGGTTCGAACTCTCCGCACATAATGCACGGGTTCATATCTCATTGCCAGTAGTCCTCCTTGGTAGGCGATATGTATATCCATTATAGGACCTTCTAGACCTATAATATACCCATACTTTGGCTGGCTAATTCCAAAAAAAAGTACAAATTTTAGGTTGAGTGACAATTCTAGCCCAATTTTGTTTTCTCATAAAAAAGCACCAACTTTAGGTCGAATGACAATTCTGGTTTCGACTTTTTTTTGCCTCATAAAAAATCACCAACTTTCACACTTATCTCAAATCTGGCCCCTCATTGACTTTCTGTCTGAAGTCACCATTGTTTGAGAAAAAAAGGTTATAATCGTGAGCTTGGCGAATCTCGTCCATAGTGTCTGTCAACGGGCGATGGTTTACAACTTCAGATTATGACAAAACGACAAAGTCTGACCAAAGAGATTCAATCTGGAGATCTTTTTAACTTGCCGGTGAAGTGAAGGAGACGAACAGTTTCACTGTTATTCTTCAAGCTATGGCTCAGAGATCAAGATAATGAATAGTGCTTTAAATCCAGTCAGCAAGCCACGTTGATTTATTGCTAAGGACTGGATTAAGTTGGGGGACTGAGAATTACCCAATATGACCGAAAATGGGAGGACAAGAATGCCCCTCTCCTCCCGTGAGTAATTACTCTTTTGCCCTTTCACTTATTGGATAAGGACGAATGTGGGCCGTTGGATTTTGGATAAGATCAAATCTTGGCCATTGGATCGGAGGGGTAAGATAAGGGGTATTTTAGTAATTTCCGGTGGGATTTTAGAGTCAATTATTGGGGGTTCCATTTAAATATCTATTTCTCTCTCTCTCTCTCCTCACCCCTCCACCGATCGGCTCTCTCTCTCCCCTCTCCCTTGTGCGTGAAGCCACCTTGACCGGCCACCAGCTCGCCGCCGCCTGGTCGCCGCCCTTCTGCCGTTCACCGCCGCCGCTTCTCCTCCTTCCCGGCCGAGCCTCTTCACCGTCCGCCTGTCTCTCTCTCTCGGTTTCGCTGTTCTGTTCGGCCCTGCCATCACCAAGCCACCCCTGGCCATCGTCCCCTGGTCCATACAACCTGATCGCCGCCCCCAGCAGGCCGAACGCCGCCCGCCAGCCACCCGTCCACGGCAGCTCAGCCGCTCGCCCGCCTGACCGCCGGCACCTTGCTCTTTCGGCCGTTCTTTGGGCCGGCCGATTCTCGGCCACCCATCTAGCTTGTTGTCACGCCTTTCTAAGGTAAGTGACTCCCCAAATGTTACCTAGGACCTCGGGTATTGTTAGACATGTTTAGGGCTTGGTTCGGGTAGTTTAGGTGGCTGTTTTAGGACTGAAATGAGGGCTGGATGTTCAATTGTTGTGGATTAAATTATGGGATGAAAATGCGTGGTTTAGTGGACTCGGATAGGGCTGTGATGATGTGGAACGAGTAGGATTGAATCGTATGTTCGATTGGTAAGATTATGCCTTGAATGGACTTGTGTATGTGGTTGTGTGGCTTGTGGTTATTTGACTGAATTCTGCGTGAATGTTGGATTGAATATTGAGTGGCCGTGTGCCCTGTGTGTATGTGTGGCCGTGAGGTGTGGTGGTGTGATCGCGTGCTAAGTGTGTGTGGTCGTGTGGTGTGCTCGTGTGACGAGAATGTACATTTGCGAAGTGTATGTGAGGCGTGAGGTTGTGTGTGGCCGTGTGGTACGTGTAGAATGTGTGCAACGAAGGTACAGGAATGTAGGATTGGTTGGAAAAGTGATACCCTGAGGCGTGTTCGTTTACGCGAGGTAGGTTCCGTCCTGAGGCGTGTTCGTTTACGCGGGATAATGCCATCCCCGACGAGATGACAATGCCCAGCCCGACGGGGTGACGATGCCTGACGAGGTCAGAAAACCGTTGGCCTGATGCGTTTGACGCAGGCGCGGTAGCGGTGGAAAAGTTGGGAATGAGCTGGATTTGGCTTGTCGTGTGAGGATTGTGAAAGTTAACGCATGGCGTGAGTTAGTGTGCGAGTGCGGTTTGTATAGCGTAATGTAGTGCTCGATTATAGAGTAAAAACTACTAGGCATGGTATGGACGTGCCCAAGTAGGTTTTGCCTTATAATCGAGGCACGCGCGCGGTTGTGATGCATTACTGTGGCATGTTGGCTGTATTATTATCTAACATGCAGGGATGCGCATGATGGATTCCAGGTAGGATCGTATGTGTTTGTTAGTATGATGGATCATTGTGTGTTATGCGTGTTTCGTCTGGCGGTACGTGAAAGCCTATGTGGAGTTTGGGGTTGTGCACTTATTGAGATTCGTCCCATAGTTGTATAACCACAATTTCAGACCCTCAGCCTTAAACCCAGGAGGCCCGCCTTCTCTTTTTGGAGTTTTGAGGAGCCGCCCACGATGCCCCAGTGAAGCTGCAGACGATGTCCCCGTATCGTGGACCAAGTGATCTTCCGGGGGCTCGAGCCAGAGGATGCTAAAGCAGAGTGGAGGAGGGCGACCATTAAGTTTCCCTAGGGTATTTTAGGGGTTGTATAGAACAGGTCTGACCAGTCACCTTTTGATAGTTAGGTCGACCTATAGTGAAGCTAAGTTAATCAAACCACTTGATTCTTTTGTTATGTCGGTAGTTATGAATGCTCGTCTGTTAAGTTTGGCTGTAATATAATCTTTGTATGCTCGATGCATTGGTATTGTATAAAAATGTTACTGTTCTTTGACTGTCCTGATAATTTATCCCGTCGTCGTCTTATTAGTACGGGTGTTTGTATATTCGCTTCCGCATGTGTCTCTGATGTTTGGGTTGGGTCGGCGATGTTCCTGGGACGTCGCAACTATTTGACCGGAGTGGGATGTCGCGAGCTCGATGGGGTTCGGGGCGTGACACCTACCAACCATTCCCCCACCATCGCTGGCACCCCCACCGTCGCTAGTCCTTCCAGGCGATGGTGGAACGGTGGCGACGAGGGCTTTCCAACCCTCACCGCCTGGTTTCCAATTCTCCGTTTATGTTTATTTTAAATTTAGCTTATTATTTTATTTAATTAAAATAAAATTTGTATAAAAATTAGATTTAGACCAAAAAGATGTCGTTTTAGTCACGTCATCGCCACGTAGGAGAGAGAAAATTTTAAAAAAACCACATCAATCAAGTTGGACAAAGTTAGCAAAATGACTTGATTGCGGTTTGGGGTTTTCGTGATCAAAAAATTAGTTTTAGATAAATTTATCACAAATGTACCAATTGAAGTTTTTCGTAATATCAATCCAAATTTATTTAAATTAAATTAAAATATAAGCTAAAAAAAAGAAATGGAGAGTTGGTAACCATGCAGCGAGGGTTGTAATTGCCAGGGCGGCGACCCCTACCAACCATTCCCCCACCATCACTGGTCCTTCCAGGCGATGGTGGAACAGTGGCGACGAGGGCTTTCCAGCCCTCACCGCCTGGTTTCCAGTTTTCCCTTTTTGTTTATTTTTAATTTAGCTTATTATTTTATTTAAATCTAAAAATTAGATTCAGACCAAAAAGATATCGTTTTAATCAAGTCATCGCCACATAGGAGAGAGAATTTTAAAAAAAGCCACATCAATCAAGTTGGACAAAATTAACAAAATGACTTGATTGTATCAATTTAACAGATTTTAAAATTTAATTGCACTATTTGCAAGTTTTAGCACTCAATTGTACTTTTGTGATAAGTTTAAAGCACTTATCCCTTATTTATTAATATATCTTCAAAGTACTTATCCAACATATTAATGTTATTAAAAATTAATTTTCACAACATTAATCGAACATATATCATGAAGACAATCCTTTCAAACCTCATCGCATAATGCTACCGTAAATAGAAGAAACTTGAATACAGAAACATCACAGAGCATGAAAAGAAACAAGAGATCAAATCAATGAATCTTCATCACATCAGTGGATCAAAACATCCGACAACATTCACTAGCAAAGGAAATAATGTACAGTTTGTCGCCGCTGCTGCTATTCAATGTCACGGGCGAAAAAAGTACAAAATTACATAAGAAAATAAAAAAGAAGAAGCAGAATTCATTAGAGATAGCAGATATACAACGTCCACCTAAAAGCTGCTAAATTTCCTTCTGAAGAAAGATAAATGATATGTAGTCGGACAGACGATCATTTCCCTTCGGTTCACCGGTCGACATACTTAGATAAATGCTCCCCCTTACTTTTAACAAATTCTTTACATACACTCGTTGTGCATCACTGCGATGCGCAAAGCAATTTTTAGATTCTCCGAGCAGCAGCTTCGGTGTCTCAATGAAGCCTAGCTTTTCGAAAAAGAGCCCAAGCACAAATTGTAACTGGATCAAGTCATGCCGTTGATTCTCCTTCCCTTCTAATCAGCTCCTGCAGCAACATGACAAGAGCAAGTGAGTATCGACACACTTCCAGTTCCATGTAAACATCAAGGGGTAGCATCCCCAAGGGAGTAATAAAATCTTGGGGAGGACGGCCTAATTGAGCGAAGCAAGCATACCATCAACCCTATTTACATAGCTGTTTTCTTTGATGCGCATAACTCAATAAGATTGCAGAGGGATGATTGAGCTAGTGCGCTGGATCTTCTACGACCTTTGAAATCTAACTTTCTTTGTGAAGTCCAGAGCGCACATAATAGGCCCCCCACATCAATGCTGAATTGAAAAACTTTCAGGGATATGAAGTTTTCAGGATTAGGAATCAAGTGTTTCTTTCATATTCAAAAGGAGTTAATCTTTTCCGTTCAGAGGGACTTAAACTTTTAACGAATCCAAATGATTCTTTAGGTGAACTATGGAGCTGAATTTGCATTTGTTAGTTCCAGAAAATAAACTAAATGATCGCATAACGGAATATTTACCGATCTGGTAGCAACTATTGATTGTTGTTGCCTCTCCTTTTTCTCACGCAAGCACTCTCCACACCAACTGGAGAAATCCTTTTGATACTTCTTCATCTCCCTAAATATTGAACTGTGCCAAGAAAACCAAAGGGTTGAGAGCACATAGAGCAAACTCTGAATTCATACGCAGTAAAAAGTGAAGTGCCAGCACATTTTTTGTGAGCTGACAAGATTCCAGCAGTTTTCTAACGCCCTGAACAGAGAAAGAAATGAAAGGGACCAGGATAAGGAATATCCTTCCTTGACTGGCTCTCTATCAAATGTCCAACTTTCACTAGCCTTGTAATCAATCACACAAGGAAAGCAAATTGATGAATCTAAACCAGTATAGTGTAGTATCCATGAGTCAACGTAGATGGAGAGATGGAAGGTAGCTATCAGCAGACCCTCAGCAGTCAGTGGATAACCTAATGATCTATTCAATAATCAATACCCCAGGCATGACTATCTAAACCAACATAATAGGACCTCCCATGGATCGAGATGCAAGTGGGGAGAGAGAGAGAGAGACAGCATAAACCAGCGTATGCCCAGCTGCAACGGAACATTTACCAGAAGTGAACATGGACAAACTTTAATCTCACCATGAACGATATTAACACGCCTCAAAATAATTTCGAAGAACTTATTATCCATTTATCACAGTTTATCATCAGTGACCCCATCAACAAAGATAGCTGATTGCTTCTAACTCTTCAAGTCTTCCATTACTTTAATCTACCCTGCCTTAAGCAGTCCAATAAAAAAAAGAAACAATGAAATCCTTAACACACCAATGGCTCAACAAAAGAAGGAAGTGAAAACTACCTTCTACACCACAGGAGTAGATTAATCCTGTGACCAGAAGTTGTGGCCCGAGCACCATGTCGGTGACGACCACGATGAAGCACCGCTCGCCCAGGTACATGGCTATAGTCGAAAATCTCCTAATACAAGAAACAAACAATGCCAAGGAAGAGTATCAGTACAAGAACAAGGAGGCAAGAAAATATCCAAGTGACGAACAAGGTATATATAACTTGCCAAAGTGAATGACATCATCAATTAAAAACGAGCATAAAAGCCTGAATATCAATGGACAGGGATGCGTGTACATATGCAAGTAGGCATACGTGTCCATCGTATAAATATCAATGTGTGCAACAAGTTAAGTGATGAAACAATGTGATCGGACCGGAAGAATCCAGACCTTTATACTTGAACCCACTTGCTTTACCAGCAAGCAATGGTGATGGATATTTGTACTTTACCGAATGCATCATGTGCTTGTGGCTTGTTCTAAAATTACAGACTTAAAATGCATCTCTGTGGAAATCCAAAGTAAGCAAAATCAAATGAAATGTACATAAAACATAACTCTAAAACAATAAATCAATTCAACGAGGTTTGGTTACATATATAACCTACTTCTTATGCAACAACTAACACAAGCAAAGGAATCAGGCTATGGTCTAAGCTCGTCTAGGTGGTGTGGCCCATGGCTACTCAAGCTAAGATCATGACACACCGCACAACTCTAAACTTTGCTGTATATCAATTGCTTGTCCATCTTAAGTGATCCAGAGGTTCGTGGTTAAAGCCATAGTGACCAAAGTGCAATGCCAGGAACAGAAATGGAGAAACGTTTCACAGAGATCAAAAGACAAATTAAAGGCAGGTTAATACTGATTGGCACGTTTGTATCGTACAATTAAGAGGACAATACGATTCCACTGCCTCTAAAAAGAAAATTTTAGTTGCCCAGGATAGCTGAATTAAACCATTGATAAATCAAGAGGAAGTAGGGCCCCTATCCTAAGCAATGGCTTGTTAAATAGTAAGATAACAAAATCCTGTTCACATTCTACAAGTTGATTCGTATTTAACAAGTGATGTACCTCTGAATGGGTGCCTGTGTTCACATGCTTATCACACCGTGTCCCCCGGAAAAACAGCTCTCCACCAGAAAATTGCTTACCCAAGCACACATTTAGAGTTACTTCTGAGTCATCAACATGAAAACCTGCAAGTGTAAAAGAAACCGAGAAAGTCAGCCATCCATTAGGAAAAGTTTAAGCTTAAAAATTGCATATATGATGTATGATGATTTCCTGCAATTCGCCATGTCAATAAGTAGTGCACTGCATACTTTTTTGAAACTTATCATATGAGCTACAAAGAAAAGTTTCCGTAATTCCCCAATCAGCACAAACAAGAAAAATATACCAAAATCAAAATACTCGAGTCACTTGAGTTTGTAGGTGCGCGTATGTGTGCTTGCATGCAAGTATTTGGACCATGATATGCAAAATATATTACAGAATATCAAATAAAGAAAGCAGAAATTGGAAAGCAATTTCAAGGTAATTCAAGTCATCCATAAAAAAGAGCTTGAAAGGAAGAAAAACAGAAATAAAAAGAGAGAGAGAAAGAAATAGCCCAGCATATTGAATGCCTCATGTTTCTGATGAATATTGCTTAAGCAATGGCTAGCAAAGAAGATTTCTTCACCAAACAGAAAGACCAACCACTATTCTAAAAGTGATAGCAAAATGCCTATAAACTTAACCAGTCGTAAATGACAAATACAATTAACTTCAGTCTTCAAGCCACCAAAACCACAAAGGTCTCTCGTGCATTGATTTCTAAATTATGGCTACTTCTTTTTTTTGCAAAACTGGTTGCCCAAGGCTGATGAGTGATACTCTTTTATGGAAGAGATTGGCTATACGATACACCAATTATGCATAAGCATAACTATATGAGGATAAGAAAGGACAAAAGAAAATAAGAACCAGGGAACCATTTGACTAAAATTCTTAGAAAGACTTCCTGGGTTTTACAAAAGAATTTTGTCCCCTTAAATCTTCTCCTTTAAGCTAAGGTAATACTAAAGACGGGCATGGACCTCCAGACATTGACATCATCTGGTAAGCAGTGCACAGTTGCCAAGTGCCAACAAAATGGAAGATCTACAACACATATGCGCGGCATATAAACCCCCCAGTCATTAACTTAAGAAAGCAATTAGACAATACTCAAAAAGGCCAACCTACATACATGTAATACTTCACAACTACTCCATCCCTTAACATTGTTGGGGGCGAATATTCCTTCAAAGGATGCAACTCCTAAAGGCTAAGCATTCAATTTAGAATGCCTGATCTCAGATACCTCACTTTTATTGAGAGCCTTCCTTAAAAATAATATTCTCTCTAATTACCTAATCATATTAACATCTCTTAATAACCCCAAACTCCACCTTGGCCATAGTAAAACACTCGAATAAGAAACCAACCAAATTGGAGAAATTTTTTTAGAACATGGTTAAGCCACTAACCTCAACAATCATATAGAAACCATAATAGAGTCTTCTGAGAATACATGAGTCGAACAATTTTAAGGAGCTATAATACTAAGCTTGCTAGCTCACAGGCTACAGCAATTTATCAGACTATTTATGGTCTACATTTACTAAAGAAGCTCGACATTCAAACTCGAATTGAGGGTGAGAAACAAGAAAACCGCTGATACATTGACTTCTAATAGGAAATGCAGAAACCTACACAAAATTTTACCAGCAAAGTCATTGTGTTCAACACACTTCTCACACTGAAATAGCACATGCCTCACCATAATGACCAGAATATTGCATTTCATGAAAATATATGAGGAAATAACAGTGCAACTCGAGAAAGCACTTCCGATTTTGTTAACAATGAAAATCAACCAAATAAATGATCACTCAACAGCCTGAAATCCTTGACCAAAAAAAAAACAGCCTGAAACCATCTATCCTCTACTAATATTTAACATTAGATAAATCATGAAAATCATAATAGCACGTGGATGGATAACATTATTTTCCAGAGTAGCAGTGTCAAATGAATTGCTTACACTGTACTCACCTAAGTCAGCATCCCTATCTTTACCATACTCAACAACAAAGCCATGATGAGAATCGAGGGTGGATCCTCCAACTTCAGGAAAGAATACTGCACAAAGTAATACTTGTCCCTCAGTAATTATAAACTCCTGAATGCTCCAGCAAGTATAATAGCACAGAACGACCTTTTGAAATAGGATGAACAAATCCCTCCATCAGTTTGTCCAACATTGTCTCTAGGCCAAAATCATCAAGCACAGCTCCAAATTTATTCATGGTATTGGGCCTCATTATCCTAAATCTTACCTCATTTACCCAATCCTCAAAATTTTCCACCTACCCAGTCAAAGCACAAATCATAAGACAAGAAGCCAAGAAAATACCAGTCATTAAACAGAATACATTAAATCAGAAGATACCTCTAAGAGCAACAATTCACAGAATCGCGGTTGAAACATCTCAAATGTGAAGACACCGGGAGATGGTTCAGACATTATATTTCTAAAACTCTCCTCTGTTTTTTCATTGATTGCTTTAAGAAACGTCGGGACAAAGAATGCTGAAGGGTGCATGCTGTATATGTTTCGATGTAAAGGCTGCAAAACAGAGGATACTCTTATTGGAAAAGGCCTCAACAAAAAAGCAGGAAATGAAGAAAAATTACAGCAAAAACTTGGGCCTTTTCATCAAACCCCAGGAACCCAAAGTGACTATACAATCAGATGGACCAAGCACTTCAGAGTAGAATCAAGAGAATTAAAAGGAGCACTCAAAACTAAATCAATCCTTGAAAGATGGAAAGGGAAAAGGTGAGTAGATGGAAGGAATCAGAGGCACTGTAATAAGACGAGTTTCCAAAGATCCGCAATCTTCAGGCATCTACATAATTTCCAACATATCCATTCATTCAAGCACAATAAAATCAATACTTGAATCCTTTCATCATAACAAGGATCATTCTATCCAAGAAAGAGAGTCATGAAAATTTGGCACTCAAGAACACATCACTAACATCCCATAACCTCTATTTATATAAGGAAATTCCATCTAAATGTAAGACATGGACCAAAAGCCACATCATTTCATTATCTTGCAAAGATAAGCTAACTTTTTCAGCTTGGTTTTAGGGCCTCTCTCCAATCCCACACACAACTGCACCTTAAAACCCAATTGGAGCATCTATATGGCAGGATGCCAGGCGAATTCAAGTTTTATTAGGGCAAACACCCTCACCTCATTCACTCAGTTTCATTAGTTCTCCCGAATAACAGCATGTTCATTGCTTAGCAGAAGCAATCCATAATCTGAATTGTTTCAGGCGAAGGGAAAAAGGGAACGTTCTCCAAAAATTAAGTCAAACAATATCTATCGCAGATGAGTATCATAAACAGAGCGAGAGTCTAAACGTTAGTAACACCTCCATAGAGTAGATATTTTACATAAATGGAGGTAAAGAAATAATACAGCTAGACTGAACAGCCAATGTGATCAAGACAAATATGAGAGTAAAAGTGAAGGCAACTGCAAAGCCAGTGGAGACCAAGTATCTAAATCGTAAGCTTTCATGTCATGGAGGAAGTCCACAACTATGCTGAAGACAAACTAACGGAGAGTGCGCATCCAAAAATTTTCTGCTTAATATGCCTCTAAAATGTCGACAGCTCCGCAAGTCAAAAGTCTATCTCCATGATAAACATGGTATTGCAAATCAAAATATTATCTCATTCTCTTCTTCAGTTCAGACAGTGATCCCAATCACTGAGTTCCATCATGTCATTGCCTCTACACACCTAATCCTCAGCACCACCACAAAAAAGTAAAGACAGCATAGAAAAAAATCGCCATAAATATATATATCAAGTTTTCCTAAAAGGAGCTCCAATCAGCAACTTGAAGTTTGCCAATAGAGGAGAACTAGATTCTGCAATATCTAAAAGAGGTGAAGTCTGATGCTGACATTACCCATCAACTCAAAAAGTGAGAAACCGTTTAGAGATTGCTAGTGAGGTACCTGATAATTTGAGATTATCTTCTGCCTGTAATCTCTATGCCTTTGAGCCTGGTAAAGATATAGCAAAGCAACATAAAACCAGCTTCCTCAAGGAAACATCGATAAAATTGACATGGTTCCTGCTGCCTCAAGAAATTACGAGTGACACATGAAGCAGGAAACCACAACCTCAAACATTCACAAACATACAAAGATGCATTTTGAAATTGAAAAGGAGAGTTATATTGGCAAATCCTAGGAACTGAGTATTCTTTTTATTAACTGGTGGCACAGAGTATTTTACCAAGGCCCAACTGAATGAGATATCATCATCAAACAAGATATGAACACAACCAAGATTTCCTCCAAAATCCAACGGAAGTTAGTCAGGAGCCGTTGAAAGGACACCCCAATTCAATCCAAAGTGCGAAGAAGATGAAGCGAGAAAGGGCAAAACGAATATTTCAACGTCCACAAATCCTATAGATAATGAACCTCGAAAAATTCGGGTTCTCTGCTTCCGTAGAATTCAATGCATGAAGCCAAATTCGGTCAACTCAGCAGGGAAAAGCGATGAGAGAAAAGGGACAAGAAAAATCACAAAGCGGCATTGCACCGCAACGCAAAGCACAAGTCGTACATACTCTGTTCCGCTCCCCGTGAGGCAAGTACTTGAGCAGAATCTCCCTCATGAACTTCACCTTGTCGTCCCTGGAGACCCCCAGCATGGTCGGCGGCAGGTACCGCTCCAGCGAGCTGAAGATCGCGGGGCTGAAGTCCAGCTGCAGGTCGTCGTAGCTGTCCGGCCTGTGGTCCTTGTTAGGGTTCAGCCTGAGCCTCTGCTGGCTCGTCATCGCCGCCGCCGCCGCCGCCGCCGGGGCCGCGACCGGCGGCGGCCTGCTCGGGTCTCCGCCCGGGACCGCGCCGTTGCCGCCGCCGCCGCCGGGCCCGCGTCGAGGGACATGGGCCGCGTGTCCGGGAGACGCTCGGGAGGGGCGGGGGGGGGGGCGATCAGGGCATCGGGGAGGATGGCGCGGCGATGATCTGCGAGACGGGCGCGGAGGCACGGAATCAGGGGCCCGGTGGTGCCACCGCCATTGGAAGGGTCGATGGTGGTGGTGGTGGTGATGGGCCGTGGGAGGTAGAAGATGGTTTGCAGGTTTAGGGTTTCCTCGTCGTTCCCACGCTCGGGGTGGTGCTTGCTTCCGCGATTCAGTTACTCCGTTTTTGTGGTTTTTGAATGGGAGGGAGAGGGGGGGGGCTGCCAGGCCCGGGTCGACGCGCCGGGTGTGATTACGATCCGCACGCGCGAGATGAGGGGGCTTCGTCAGCCCTTTAAATGTGGCGCGTGTACGGGAGTCTCGGGAAGCGAGAGTGGTGTGGCGTTTTTCAGTTGGGGGGTCCCCTTTATGTTAACGTTAGGCGCTGCTACATTAGGGCAAGGTTTGCTTTCAAGGGACCGTCGCAGCGATAGCAGCATCAAAAAGTGTTTTTGCAGATTTGATTTCTAATGTGTAATTTGGAGATTGAAGTGTTGTTTTTTTTGTTTGTTATTGTTGTTTGTTTTTCGAATTTGTTCATTTGGGTTGTATAGTTTAGATGTGAAGTGCAAATCGAGATTTTAAATGTGGAAACTTTTTTTTTGGGGTCATATGTGAGTGAAATTCAAGGAGGGCATTTGGTATGTTCCCTAAATTATGGTAAACAACGACCAATATTTCTTCAAGTGATAATTTATGACCAACTCTCGGACCCGGGAAAAACAAATCTATGACCAACTTGAGTAATTTCTCGTGGAAAACTTCTCATTTCTTAACATTTAATTCGTTTTTATATCATTTGTGAATGGAGAGTTTAAACTCGGTATTCATCACCGAAACGTCCATAATACATGAGTAAAATATAAGAGAAATAATTCGGCACTCTTAAAGTTATCGCGAAAGTATGATGAAATATTAAGATATTCAAGTATTGCAATAGGGTGTTAAAACTTGTTCAATTCAACTGTGTTTGGTAGGGTGAGCAAAAAGGTAAATAAAGGATTTAAATGAAGAAGACAAATGATTCGATAGAATTGAGTTATAATATTGCTAAAATCTAGCCAGGCAAGAGAAAGGAAAAAAAATGTACTATGACAAAAATATCCTTTTATGCATTTGGATATATACGGAAAATAAGAGTATAAGTGAGAATGAACAAAAAATTATTTATTTAAATGCAAATCCCTCAATATTTAGAGAAATTTAGAGAAATTTAGAATGCACAAAAAAATGACTTTACCCATCTCTCGCAATCACTCGGAATCCTTTTTCCTCCTCATTTCCCTCATTCAAAATGATATCATGTATTTTTTTTTTCACCTCATTCAAACCATGAATTAGTTCAATCAAAGGGCTTTTCCCAGCATGGTCCAATTCGAACGTTGAAAAATGCCGACGTGCCGTTTGTAAACATTTTTTTAGGGAGGCGATGCGGCGCTAAATTTGCACCGTATATTAGAAAAAAAAAGGGTAAAAAGAAAGAGGAAAGAAATACATAAAGAAGCCAAAAAGAGAAATCGAATATAATTATATCCTACGGACGATATCATTTTTTATTCACTCTGGTAAAAATTTAAATCAACCAGTGTTTCGACGAGAAGAAAGAAAACGAAAGGAGAGGGAGAAACGAGCCGTTGGAAATAGCGCGCGAACAGAAGAGACCGGTTCGTCGCCGTTAGCCGCCTCGCGCTCTCCGTTTTTGGACGGTTGCTTGCCGCCGTTAAGTAACGGCCAAACCACCGCAAGTTTCTAGGGTTTAGCAAAATCGCGATGGGCTCGTCGATTCGCTCCCCCCCTGCAAAACTCTCTCCATCGACAAGCGCGAGCGAAGGGAGAGAATGAGCGAGGTCGCGCAATCCGGGGACGGAAATGGAGTCTCCGAGGCCGCCGGGAACCCCAAGCGCGGCGAGGATGCCGGGGACGCCGAGCCGGCGGCGAAGAGGCCGAGGACCGCCGAGGGCGCGGCGGAGGGAGGAGGGGAGGCCAGGGTTTTCGAGGTCGAAGCGGACGCGGCCGAGGACAAGGGGTCGAGGCACGCCATGGAGGACGCGTGGGTCCTGCTCAAGGACGCCAGCTTGGGCTCCCCCGGGAAACTGAGGTTTCGTGGCTTTCTCTTCCGCAGTTCCGTTCGTTTTCTCGTTCCCTTTGTTGTTTTGAGAGAATGGCTCGTGGGATCTGCCACAAAGATTGATAAGTACTCATATTCTCTAGAGTTATGCTTATCGATGTTGTGGTGATGGTAAAATCCAAGACTTTATAGGTATTACTTCAATTTGAGCAGCTCTTTTTTATCTGGGAAATAGAACGCGTCTCCAAGTATCACGCTTATCGATGAGTCCACGGCTCGGTGCTTGTTATCAGCATTTTTCAGTCACGAGTAGGGCAATGCTCATCAAAATTATCAAGTTATATGCACTGATTTAATTACTCCATACTTGTTATGATAGAACGGTTACGTGGTATTACTTATTTTATGATTAGTTTCGTCAAGTTTTGCACGGGTGATACGTATTCCTCCTGTCTCACGAGATTTCATTTTCCTTGCGATTCACATCGAAACTGGTTTTTATAAATCCACACGAACAAAAAACAAGTCTACATTGGAAAGCAATAGAAGAGCTCATTCTCCAGTGCATTTAAATTCTTTGCGACGAGAAGGAACTTTCGGGAAGATAATATATTGCCTTCTCTGGACAGATGTGCACATTTTGCGATATATGATGGACACGGAGGTCGGCTTGCAGCAGAATACGCTCAGAAGAATTTACATGCAAATGTTCTTTCTGCAGGCTTACCACGTGAGTTGGTGTGTTTGCTTGGTCTAAATTTATGAATACATTCTTTATGAGCCTTCTCTGGGTTTTCTTGATTTGCTTATCCAAGTTCACTTGGCACAATAAAGCCGTGAAGTTTAGCCTTTAATAGGAGTTTGTTTAGCATATCTATGTTTACCATTGTTTAGGGTTTAGGGTTCGGGACTTGATGTTGACAAGCAGTTTGGTTTGTGATTGTGAATATTTTTTTCATCACCGCATGATTACCTTTATATTATTATTGTAGTTTAAGAGATGATTATGGGTTGAAAGATTCCATGCCGATGCATCTTTGGTTTAATAAGAGATCTTTGATTCACCTCAATCACGGTTAACATGCGTGAGCAATTCTCTGTGTTGATCACTGTGTAAGTCCTAGAGTAGTTCTTTTCTGTTTGGTTGATGTCCATGTTCTACTATAGAGACTCCTTTTCATCTGAATCATTTTATGAGGGAAGACTAGCGCTATGGATTTTCCTGGTTGAACTGCTTTTACATCTATCTCCAATACTGCCTATTGTTTCTGTTATTTCTTGCTTTGTCAAGTTTCAATACTATTGGCATCATGTGGCCCAATGGGGAAGATTCTTTCTGTTCTGCTTTGGCTGACTCCAATGATTTATCATGATGGTGCAGATGGATGTTAAAGCAGCCAAAAAGGCCATTCTTGATGGTAGGAATTCTCGCTGTGCATGCTTAATTGAGACACCAACACTGCGACTTTTATTTTCCATCTTCACGCTTTTTTTTTTGCTATCTAGGTTTCCGAAAGACCGATGAATCTCTTCTCGAGGAGAGTGCTACAGGTATCAATTGAACATTTAATTTTTTTAGAGTCCACTTAATTATTTGTCCTTCAATTTGTGATGCATGATATCAAACGGGAGCTCCTCTAACTGTTGAATCAGTGGAGAGACTCAAGTTGAATTTTCAATGTGCTTGGATAGCCTATTGATGGCTTAAATGGTGACTGCAGTGATTTAAACACTACAAGGGAACATGGGGTACTAATACCACATTAATTTGGATCCACCTGTTTCCGCTTTGGGATCGTTATTTATCTTGTACTCGAAGCACCTAGTCATTTTCACTCCCATTGTTAACTAATGTATTTTGGAGCTATTTTTACTAACATAGTATGAAATTTTTTTTGGATAGTAGAGATATTAAGAAAGATTTGTTTTAGAGTTCTGTTAAGAATTTTCTTCTATCATATAGAAAATATCAGGTTCCTGTACTTCGTTTGCTTCGTTGGTTTAGAGAAGTTTATGAAGGACTTTTATTTTCCACAAGGATTTACCTACGATGCTATCTGTGTGTATCCTTTTTCAGGGGGATGGCAGGACGGTGCAACAGCTGTATGTGTTTGGGTACTAGGACAAAGAGTGAGTTTCTTTCCTGGTCCCTTCATCCCATTCGTTTGGGTAAAAGTAATGTTTAGGCAGAAGTAACCGGACGAATCAGTAGTGTGGAGATATTCTATACTCGACATCAAAATTACAGATGATATATGATCAAATTCGTCGGTCTAGTCATATAATAGTTTTTCTTTTTTTTTGGATAAGCTTATAATAGTCTGATATTGTTTCCCGTCAGTAATTTTTTAAGATCATTAAAGCCTTGGAAGCTGAAAACTATGTGGATGTAGGTGTCCAGAGTAAGAAATATAATGGATAATTTAGTCATTTAAGATTTTTAACGTTTGCTGACTAAGATGACATGTCTTTGATCAAATTCGGTTGTGCTACTTCTTATTTTGTTATGCTTTAATTGTGTCAGAGCAATGTTGGCTTGTGGACTAAGTCTCAGTTCATCTTATAGGTTTTCATTGCTAACATTGGGGATGCAAAAGCAGTATTAGCCCGCTCCTCAACTGAAGATGGTGATAGTTCTGTAAAGGCCATTGTTCTCACTAGGGAACACAAAGCCATTTACCCTCTAGAGCGTACCCGCATCCAAAAGGTAAGGATGTATGTGCAACTTTCTTTTTGGGTCAGCAGTTTCCTGCACCGTTTTCCGTGGACTTCCAATTTACGAAATGGGGGTAGCTTTTTTTTTATATGAGATCTGAAATAACGCATATGCTTTGTGTTGTGATATATTGGTGATCGGCACAAGTGTTCTGTGCCATTTTAATGAACTTCTTTTCCCTGATGAGATAATATTTGGTCATGCAGCTACATGTTGTTATTTGGGAATAACGCAAATTCTTAGATGCTGCTTTTGTTTGTTGGAGAGCGGCCTTCTTTATTAGTTAGTGCCAAGAAATTGATATTTACATGCCATATGAACGTCTATAAAAACTTATTCCCTAATTCCTTCCTTCCTCCTCCTACTTCTCCTTCTTATGGTTTGAAAATTGATGGTTCTTTCACATCAGAATGTAAGTATCAGAAAGTAAGAGAGGATTGCTATATTAAGGTCCTGAATATATGTCTAAGTTCCTTGAGTAGATTAGTGTACGGTGCACTATAGTCTTTCTAGCTGTCTTTACACATGATCAGGGTTTTCGTGCCATTATTGCATCTGTTGTTATTTCAGGCTGGGGGGGTTGTGAGTTCCAATGGCCGATTACAGGGTCGCCTTGAAGTTTCTAGGGCCTTTGGAGATCGCCAGTTCAAAAAGGTTTGGCTTTTATTTGAACATTGGTCCTGTTTTCCATTTTAGTTTCGTTGCATCTAAAATGAGAGTACTTGTGCATACCTTTTGCTCCTAATATAATAGTCTAGACATTGCATATTGCACCGCAGGATCAACCAGTACAATATCTAGGCTATGTGGTTACTAGTGGACATGCATTTTGGTGCTTTATATATGCATCTGCTTCTTCAAATGCATTAACTGTACTCCAGCTCCATATTCGATTTAATGTGCATAGTTGCTTTTCTAGAAGAGCTTCAAGCGTATAGCTCATGAAACTTGGGGCGTGTCTGGATAAGCTTTTACTTTTTGCTTTTTGTTTAATCCAAAACTTGCGAGGGACGCACTTTGACTTTTTCTTAGCCATAACACCTAAAACTTTCACAACATAGAAATCCTGACGCGTAGATTTATACATAAATTTTTCATTTTTTTTTTAAAATTTGGATAATGTTTTAAATTTTGGCGGGAAAGCAATATTTGCTTTTGTTGAAGCATAAAGAGATATGCCCTAAGTGAAATTGAGGAACGAAAGAGCCAGTTTACTTAAATTAAGTTTGTTCGTTCTGATATATATGGTAACAACCGTGACACCTATTGCGACTATAAAAGAATGACATAGTCATGATGACTGAATGACCTGTCATGTCTGCAAGGGAATTCATGGCGTTTTGCTCTCTGTGTGGAAGTCTTTCTATATTAGTCTCTTGGGGAAAATAATTTCTGCCACTATAATGGAAAAAACTTTGACTATCTTGGATGAAATAATAATGTGGCATAACAGTGGCCATGGAGTACAAGAAGTTTTATTTTCTTTGTGCAGTGTAGAATTCTTTTTGAATTATAGTTTAGATTGGGAAAAGAGGTATGTCTACTTTGCTACTATGAGTTAGCATTCAACGCCACTAAAAGATAGCCGCTCACTGCTGCAATTAACAATAGCTATTGTTGGATACTTGGTATGACCTGTCCTAAAAGCGGATAATAGATTCTTCACTAAGACAAAGCAGAAGAGGAGGAGTAGGAGTAGGAAGATAATAGATGGGTCTTCGCCTTCTGTAAAAGAAAATCATAACAGAAAGATAATCCTTGTACAATGATTTTATTGTCTATTCAGAGAGTTTTTCGACTTTGCAGGTTGGTGTCGTTGCAACTCCAGATATTCATTCTTTTGACCTAACAGGGAGAGAGCAGTTCATCATTCTTGGTTGTGATGGCTTATGGGGGGTATGCTTCCACTTTCAATATGACCAATCTCCTGGTCTGAGAAAAACTTTTAGGACTTGTTGATTGTGAGGGAAAAATTATTTCAGGTATTTGGAACAAGTGATGCAGTTGAATTCGTTCGCACATTATTGAAGGTTGGTGCAGCATCTCATTTTATCTTTTGCTTATTCCAGTTAAACAAGATCTTGATCTTTACCTCCCCCAAAACTTGAAATTGGGGGTGCTCAGTTCTAAGTAGCTGATATTATGTGTCGACACATAAATGGTGATTTGAGAAAGTTTACCTCTATTATTTGCTCTTTTGACTTTTATATCATTTCTCTAGCATCATCATCTTCATGTATGTGGAAGTGATAGCCCCTTTTTTGATTGTGAAACTCACATATTGATTGATTGGGCAGTGTCTAGGTTTTTATTTCTATAATGGCACATTCTCTTCTGTGAACTTTTTGCCTTGTTTTCTGGTACTTTTGTTTGTTTGTGAGACAAACCAAACAATATTGTTTGTTTCTTAATGAATGACATCTTTTACTTTTTTTGGGTCAAAGAATGACATCTTTTACTTCAAACGTGCAAAAATAGAAGCACAATCTATCCGTAGTGGAAAAATAAGTGCAAGAACACATCCTTTTCTGCCTTCGAAGAGATCTTCGATTTTTTCCTGTCGCAGTTGTTCTAGTCTCTTCTATGTCTGACTACGGAGAAAATTAGTAATCTGAAAGGGGAAATAAAAGGCCTTCATTAGTTGCACCATTAGTTTCAACATTTTGCCTTACATTATTTACATATGATTGTACTGAAAACGGCCGGTATACTTGCTAATTATTTGTTATGGTACATGGCAGGAGGGATTAACAGTCACGGCGGTTGCCCGTCGTCTGGTAAGGGAAGCTGTTCGTGAGAGGCGTTGCAAAGACAATTGCACTGCTCTTATTATAGTCTTCAGGCCCAAGTAACTGAATTTTCTGTCAAAATGTGGAATGGTTTAAGTGAGTCAATTCGTTTATTATGGTTGTCATTTGTCAAACATCTTTGCAATTGTATCCAATGTCTAATGCCCGTTACAAACTGAAGCCCTAGGTTTTAGTGTTGTTTGGTTTGTGAAACTTATACCCTCTTTGTTGAATGGGAGGGTGTGTCAAGGAGAGGGCATCCCCGGTCACACTATGTGTGCTTGTGTTTTGAATGGTAAGGGGTCTCCTGGATCGATCGAAGTAAAAAATCATTTGAGAATCATTGGAAATTCAGTCTTAGGCCACTTGTTTCATGCATCTGACTAGTAGCTTGTTTCTAGAGTAAGTGATCTCATGAATTTGTTGATGCGGCAAAGCAGTAGCGTTGACACTTTAATGCGCAGAACCTATAGAATGGAGAGGAGGGGAAGATTGTTCGACCCAGATCCTGTCAGTAGTTAATTGCTGTTCTTTGAATTTGTGTGGAATGAACAGTTGCTACTGACCTGATAGTTTGGTAGGCCATAGAATATGATTAGATTAGGACAAGGCTATCATGTCTATGAAATTAAAAAAATCTGCCAATCTTCCTCATTTCAAAGGCATGGCAAATTGGCAGACGGTTTGTCCCCAATCAGAGGCATGAGAGGGAATATTCTGACTGTTCCTCCAAATTGGGGCTTTTTAAAAACTAGAAAGAACGAAGTTGATTGGAGATGGTTAATGAGGTCAGAGACACAGATTCGCTCACTTGTATTGTCATGTGCATGTCTCTGCCCTCACTTACAATGTGATATATTATTGTAAAGTTGGGTGTGATTTCTTCCTGTTGCGCCATGTGGCATGAAACGCCTGCGGAAGCTTCATGACTTGGTATCACTGACTGATATCGCGCCATATGTACATTGGATGCTGACATAGAAAATAAGGAAAATTTCAAAAAGGACCCAAAGTGAGCCATTTTCTCAAAAAAAGATCCAAAGTGGACATGTCCAAATAAGGACCGAAGTACTTAACTTAGTCTCAAATAAGGACTCGAACTTCCAATCTTATTCACAGCCAGGGGCATTTTTGTCAAAAGCATTTTTTTCTTTATTTTTTTCCTTTTTTTTCTTCTTTCTCTCTTTTTTTTTTTTTTGGGTCATCTTTTCTCTGTTTCTTCTTTTTTCATCTTCCTTACGCCTCCTCGCTCTACATCACCTCCATTTTCAGCGCCATCATCAGCCCCTCTATCTCTCTGTGTCATCTCGTTTTATGACCAGGATCGGGTTTTATTTCAGCGCAAGCCATTACAACACAAGCCCAACTCGTTGAAGATTTTTAAATTTCGCTCATCGAAATGGTTTGTAGACAATTCCGTGAAGCCGAAACGAGCTTACAAAAATAGGTTATCTTTATCCCGACATTCATCGTTCCGATCTCAAAGCCATAACATGTTTTCTGCTTTTTCCTAGATTTCAACTTCTTCCTTCCGTCAACCCAGCAACTGCAATTTTTTGTGCTCTTTTCAGTCCTTCTTGCCAACAACAGAAGCAGCAATATCCAAGCAACGCCAGATCATCTTGTTTAACTAACTTATGCCTCCAATCAACTGACTCTTGCTTGGTGATCAACAGTTCCACGCCAAAGAACAATTCCGTTGCAGCAGGCGACTATTTCAACCTCGGCAACAATTTTGCCCCCATCAATTTCAAAGATCCTCCTTCGCCTTTGCAATGACAATGGCCCCTTTCGGTAATCCCTAGTCTGGAGACACCCACTCACACTTTTGCCATTCTCATCGAGACAGCTCTTCTCCTCAATCGATTCCCCATCCTCAGATTGACCATCAATCAATCTCACATCATTAACCGCAGAAACTGCTGTGTTCAGTTGCCACATTGGCCATTGACAAGTCCTATTCGAGCCCTCGACCTCGTCGGCCATCGCCCTCGATAGAAATTCCAGCATCTTCGTTGTCAGACGGAGGTCGATCCGAGCCTTAGATTGAGCATGAATGAGTCGAGATCTGATGCATCTTGAGGAATTGACGAGTCGGAGAAGGCGGCCGGCAACAAATAACTCCAGTCCGACTTCTCGTCACCGAGATTGCTCATAGCCTGCGTGGCGATGTGAAGCTCACGAGCTCGCTGGTGGGGGAGCCTGATGATGGTGTCGAAGACGGAGGTGATGTCGAGCGAAGACGGAGACGTGAGGAAGATGAAGAAAAAAAACCAAAGCAAAAAGAAAGCGAAAATGAAGAAAGAAAAAAAAATTTTTTTTTTTTTTTTTTTTCTGTGTCCAATTTCAATCCAAATTAATGTGCTTGAAAAATGTCCAAATATTCTAATATGTACAGAAAAAAAAAAAAGCTTGTACTGTGAGTTTTTATGTACACAATATTCCTAATGTTCGACTAATTAAATATATGACACAATGGAATATGACAACATCTATGATTTTTTTGCGTATCTTCTCTTGTTTGGTAATGGCGTGCTATTCATCTAATCGCGAGACAATGTAGAGATGGAGCTTTTGATGACCAAACAAAGAGCTTTGAACCAAACCGATGGGCATTTAAGATAAAACTGTGATGGGGTTCCTGATGACCAAACAAAAGTTGTTGTAAATCGGGTGGTAACTACAAATAACTCTGGTTCTCTCATACATTTCAAGCTTCGATGAGCCCGAAAGTGTCAAAGGCATTAGCTTTAAGGAAAGGTCTTTTAACGAGTAATCTTCGAAACTGATGCTGCTAAAGCCTTTTGATGCCCTTTGGGGAAGGAAATGAAGTTTCTAGCTGGAAGTTGGACCCAATTAAAGCTTGATATCAGAGAATTGACAGTGGATAAAACTTTATTTCCTCACCAGAGGATGTGTCCTCTCAATTAAAATTAAAAAGATTTAGATGCAAAATGAAAATTAAGCAATTCCTGAAGGGCTCTGGTGAAGATGTAAGGGGGTTTATCTTGGTCTAACATTTAGTACATAACTCTTCATAAATGCAATGAGTCCATTTTTTATTACCTCCAAAACCCTTTAACACATGCCTCTCTTGGAAGTCGAAACAGTTGATCTTGCCACAATTATCAAGAGAAGAAGAAAGTGTGGGGTCAGATAAGCTTAACTAAGGACTCTTGAGCAAACTGAGCAATCTGGCTAACATGTTTTATCCGAGCAGTGGCCCCCCCAACAGGATTCAATCAAATAATCAGTAAGATAATGAGATTGTCCTGATCTATAAGCCGTCATTGCACAGAAGACAGTTAACGTGCGAAATCCAGCCGAGCCCATCCTCGACTACCGTACACGATTCCCGCTGCAAAATATGCAGGAAGTGGTTAACCACCAAATAATACACCTTTGACCTGATGCTTCACCGCGCACATTTATATACCCATGTGGTCTCTATTCCCTCTCCACTACACTGCTACTCCATTGAAAAGCCAAAGAAGTAAAAGGAAATGGGGAAAGAGAATGTCGTATCGGAGAACATGAAGCTTCTTCTAGCATTGCTCGCTCTTCAGTTCTGCTTTGCAGGATTTCGCATTGTGTCTAGGGTTGCACTCAACATTGGCATCAGCAAAGTCGTTTATCCTGTTGACAGGAACATCATCGTCTTGATTTTGTTGGGCCCTTTCGCTTATTTCTTGGAAAAGTGAGCATTGTCTGATGACCGCCCAAATTTCTTTCAACATAGTTGCGATGATAACACGATTTTTTTCCCTGTTTTTTGGCCACTCAGGAAGGATAGACCACCTCTTACTTTCTCTTTGCTGGTTTAGTTCTTTCTTCTTGCGCTGCTAGGGTAAGCCATAATCAGGACAGACCTTTCTGAAAGCATATCTAACACGTAACATTGAAAAGACTTATCCTTCAGCTAAATTATGGATCCATTCTTTTTCTACTTCAGGATAACTGCAAACCAAGGATTTTATCTGTTGGGACTGTATTATGCATCACCAACCTTTGCCTCAGCAATGCAAAATTCTGTTCCTGCTATCACATTTGTCATGGCTTCTGCTCTAAGGTTCCTCGGATCTTTGTCATCCTAAAGCCAAATCCTGTAAATTTTTTTAAGGAAGGATTGCAGTGTAACCTGTCTTTATGTGTTTTTTCAGACTTGAACGAGTTCATATCGCTAGAAGGGATGGCTTGACGAAAATTGTAGGAACAATTGCTAGTGTTGGGGGTGCCACAACCATCACTCTCTTTGAAGGCCTTCCTCTTTTGCACCAGAAGCTGACACAAGGCAACATAGCCGAAGAAGACGTGACTGTGAGGCAAATGCAGAATTGGACATGGGGTTGTATATATTTGCTTGGACACTGCTTATCATGGGCTGGTTGGATGGTTCTTCAGGTTATGACCACTGACCAGTCATTGACATTATAGGGCATCTGTGAAGCGAATTTAAGATGGCTGGCCTAGGAGGATGGAAGCAGAGCATTCCTAATCCTTGCTAAGCTAACTTCGTATCTATATTTTGCAGGCTCCGATCTTGAAGAAGTACCCAGCAAAGCTCACTCTCACATTGTTCACTTGTTTTTTCGGGTTGATCCAGTTCTTGGTCATAGCAGTGTTCGTGGAAACCGACACCGAGCGTTGGAAAATCCAGTCCGGAGAGGAGCTGTTCACGATTCTCTACGCGGTATTCCACAAGGATCTTTGTATTCGGGCATTTGGTGTTGTCCCTTTTGCTGCAACTGAAAGGAGATTACGAGCTTTATGCGTTTGTTTATGTATACTCAATAGGGAATAGTTGCTTCTGGAGTGGTCCTCTCTCTGCAGACTTGGTGCATCCACAAAGGAGGTCCCGTCTCCGTCGCCGTTTTCCAGCCTGTGCAGACACTTCTAGTCGCTGTTATGGCGATCTTCTTTTTCGGGGACCTTCTTTTTCGGGGATCAACTCTACTCTGGAAGGTAATCAAGTCATTCGTGCGAGGATAAAAATGAAAACCTAACAACGTTCCGTTCCACGGCATCTGACAATCATGACCTAAGATGAATAGATTGAAGCTGAAATGTCTATATGTTGCAGGCTTCTTGGAGCGGCTCTGATTATGGTGGGACTCTCCTCGGTTTTATGGGGCAAAACGGAGGAGAAAAGAATGGAAATCCAACAAAAGGAAGAGACGCTAACAAAGCATCTCCTTGAAGCTTCTGCCGCTACAGAGGACGGAAGAAGTCATGTGGCCTCCGATCTACCTGGAGTTGCTTTCTAGTCGTATACACAATCAATAAATTTGGTAAACTGACTTGAAGTCGGCGATTGATAACTTCTCCAAAGAGAGAATTTCAGTCCCTCTAGTAGAATGAAGCGTCTAGTTTACTGTAAATCTGACAAGACTATCCATTTTCAATGAATCTGAAATTGACCGCCGCGATCAGCTGTTGTCATGTTAATGCATTTGCTGAAGTGCAATTTTACGTAGGACATGAACCAGATGTCCTCTGTTCCAACCCCATCTCTCGTCCCTCTCCCCTTCCTCTCAGTTTAAGGACACTCAAAAGGCCTCCCAACAGATTAAAACCAAACTATAGAAATGGAGGAAGAGAAATCAGTAAGAAATCACAATGGCCGAACTGTGACATTCGAGCTGAATTAAGTGTTCATACAGCATATACTAATTACTACCCAAAGCAGTGACACACCATGCTTCATTCACTTTATAGTTTATAATTCGGCCCAGAAATTTTACTCAACTTATGACCAGGACGGAAGCATCATGAGAGAAAGATGTCGCATGGTGGCCACAAGCATACAAGCATTCACGATGTCACACTCGGAAGTTCCGGTCTGGGAGAGAGGAGTTAAAAAAGAACAATTGACCAGAACATTAAGAAGCACTCTGTAAGTGAATAGCTCGTGGTGGATGATTAATCATGTGAATATAGCTAGAAATGGTGAATAACCATTCATCTTGCAGCGAAATCATCCAAAAGGATTTCTTCAGTATATAAGCACACGCAAGAAATGCTACGCTGCTGGGTTAATAGTCAATTCGTCTAAAATTATATGAAGAGAAAAAACCATGTTAGTGTTAAGAGACTGTATCTTAATATTTGATAGATACTCAAAGGAAATATAACCCAGAATTAACATAAAAAACGCTAGAAGGTAGACATACTGCATTCAGAAATACCTAAAAACATCTCGAAATCACAAAAATATCGGTTCAAAGGACACACAAGCACAGATTGATGACAATGAGATTGGCCACATGTTGCGGGCTACATATTCCCGCAACGTTCTCTTGTTCTGTGACGCCTACCTCACTGAAACAATATCATCAATCTTCAAAATCATCCGAACACACTCTGTAGCAAGAGTGATTGCACTTGTACTAACAAGCAGGGGCTGCACCACATTTTCCTCCAAGATATTAGTTATCTGCCCCTTCCTGACATTGATCCCGGCATTGATCTCTCCTTGGGCATGCCTATTCCTCAGCTCAGTCACAATTGCTATCGGATTCAACCCCGCATTCTCAGCAAGTGTGTAAGGAATCACTTCGAGTGCCTCAGCAACCGCCTTTACACAATACCCCTCCATACCGTGAAGTACCTTTGCCCAGGCTCCCAACTGCCTTGACAGCTCAATCTCCGGAGCACCGCCTCCAGCAATCAAGAACCTCTTGCTCACCAAACATCTGACCACACACAGAGCATCATGCAAGCTCCTCTCGGCCTCGTCAATCACCAGCTGGTTGGAACCACGCACAAGCACAGTCGTCGTCCTTCCCATATCCTTAATACCCGTGATCTTCACAATCTTCCCATCACCCAAAGAAACCTCCTCAACAAGATCAGCATAGCCCATCTTCTCTGCTCGGAAATGCTCAATGTTGGCAATTGGCAAGCAATTCAAGGTCTTTGTAATGAACTCAATTTCGTCACGCTCCACATCCTTAACCACCAAAATCTTGGCTTTGGCCAGATAATGCAGCGACAAATCTGTCACAGCATCTCTCAAAATACTCTTCTGGATCAACAACACGTTGCATCCAGTGGCCTTAATCTTCTTAATCATACCCAAAATGTAATTCCTCTCTTCTTTCAGTATCCTATCCATCTGAGTATAATCAGAGACCACGATGCTCTGCTCAATATCGGTCTTCGGAGGCGAAATCTGGAACTGAATCACCGCAATCTTAGCATTTTCAATGCGAGTAGGCCCGCCAGCAGCATGACTCACTTTCTTGTCAAAAACCAGACCTTTAACCAGCTCAGTGTCGTCCACAGTCCCACCCAACTTCTTCACAATCTTAATATCTCTCAGATCAACTACCTCAGGTTTCAACGGATCAACAACGTACAAAACCGCATCAACCGCGAGGGGCGCCAAGAGAGTCGAATACTGACTAACCACCTTACTATTAAGCGAAGTGCTAGCGGACTTAACCAACGACTCGCGGTCGCTCAACTCGACAGGGACGGCCATCGCGGTCAAGACGTCGACGGCCTTGATAGCAGCCTTGTGGAGGGAATCGGAGATTACCGTGGGGTGGATGCCGGCGGAGAGGAGGATGAGGCACTGCTTGAGGAGGGCGCCGGCGATGACGACGACGGTGGTGGTGCCGTCGCCGGCCGCGGCGTCCTGGGACTTGGAGAGCTCGACGAGCATCTTGGCGGCGGGCTGGAGGACCTCCATCTTGTTGAGGATGGTGGCGCCGTCGTTGGTGATGATGACCTCGCCGCTGGCGGTGGAGATCATCTTGTCCATGCCCTTGGGGCCGAGGCTGGTGCGGACGGCGTCGGCGACGGCGCGGGCGGCCACGATGTTGGCCTGCCGGATGTCCTCCTTGCGCTTGTTGTCGACGTACGACTCCGTCTTCGAGGACGTCGAGGGAAGCGAGACTGCAGGCGCCGCCATTTGCGGTGGAGAGAGAAAGTCGGAGGTGAGAGATCGCCGGTCTAGAGAGAGAAAGAGAGAGGGGGAGGGAAATGGTGGGATGAGAAACCCTAGGAGAAGAGAAGAGGAAGAGTGTTCTGGAAGTGAGAGAGAGAGTGGGGGAGTTCGAGAGGAGGCGAGGGGTGAGAATGGTAACTTCACGGTGCGCGGATCTGTTTTTTTTTTCGAATTTTTGCATTTGGCTCCCTGTACTTTTGAGGTGTATCTCAATCGACCCCGTAACTTTAAGAATTGCTGCAATCAACTCCCTGTAATTTCGCTACTAGCAAAAGAAAGGGAAAAAAAAAAAAACACAACAAAACAAATCGCGGCATCCTAATTGTAGCGAAGGAAACTAATGTCGAGTCTTCTTTTTTCCTTGGACCGGTCGTGGCGGAGCCCTCCTCAAGGTTAATGACAGGAGAGATTAGCACCGGTTACGGAGCGTAGACATGGCCACGGGCCGGTTTCGGCCCGAAACTGGCCCGGGTCAAACCCGGGACCGGCCCGTTGATCGGGCCCGCGGTTCGGAACCGGAACCGGCCCGTGGCCTACGGGCCTGGTTCCAACAATTTTGGAATCGGCCCGGAATTGGCGGTTCCGGGCCCGGTTCCAAAAAAAAAAAAAAAAACTGTAGTAGGGCCTGCACGTCTACAGGCCCTGCTGCAGCCTGCAGGCCCAGGGCAGGTGGCCGTTGGCCACTTGGCCTTGGCAACGGCTAAATTTCCTTCTTATTTTTTTCTTATAAATTCTCTCAAATTTTCTCAATACTCTCAAATTCTCAATTCTCTCAAATTCTCTCAATAGTCTCAATTCTGTCAAATTCTCTCAATTTTCTCAATTCGAATCTTCTCAATTTTTTCAATCCGCACAATTCTCTCTTAATTCTCCTAAATAAATTTGCTCAATTCTCTCAATCCACTCGAAAAATGGCAAGTGGAAGTCAAGCAGCAACTGGCAAAGGTAAAAATAGAATGACGGAATCCGAACATTCTTTTGATGCTTGTGATTATGCAGATTTTCAAGATGATGAAATTAACATTTTTCCCGATGTGGAGCGCGTCCCAACACAAGAAAGTCTTCATGCCGAAATGTCAACAACAAAGGAGGCAGAGCGGGAACTTACATCCGACATTTGGGACCACTTCACGAAAACGGAAAGGTTTGATATTAGTCAAAAAAGGTATGATATAATTTGTAAATATTGTGGGGCAATATATAAATATACAGGTGGACAAAGATATAAAACATTCAAACGACTAGCAAACATCCAACCGAAGCGGGAATCGATACCAAGCAACAACAAATTTTCGAGTACGTCAATCCTAACACTTCTTATTTATTTCGTTTTAATGAAAAAACTTATAAGGAACACTACGAAAAAAGTGGATTTTAGCGACGAATTTTGCGACGAAAAATTTGGGCAAATTCGTCGCTAATACGCCGTCGCAAAATTTAGCGACGAAAAATTTCAATTTTCGTTGCTAATTAGCGTTTCAATTTTTATCGCTAATTAGCGACGGAAAAATATACGTCGCAAAAATCGTCGCTAATTAGCGACGGAAAAAAAATCGTCACTAATTAACCGTGGCAAAATTCGACGCTAATTTGCCACGAACTTTTTTCGTCGCAAAACTCGTCGCTAAATTGCGACGGAAAATAAACCGTCGTAAAATTCGTCGCTAATTATCCGTGGCAAAATTCGTCGCTAATTTGCCACAAATTTTCTTCGTCGCTAATTTGCGACGGAAAAAAATTCGTCGGAAAATTCGTCGTTAATTATTCGTCGCTAAATGGCGACGGAACAAATACGTCGCAAAATGTCACTAAATATTCGTGGCAAAATTCGTCGCTAAATTTGTCGCTAAGTATTCGTAGCAAAATTCATCGCTAATTTGCCACAAACTCTCTTCATCGCAAAATTCGTCGCTAAATTGCGACGAAAACTGTTCGTCGCAAAAGTCATCGCTAATTGTTTGTGACAAATTCGTGGCAAAATCCGTCGCTAATTTGCCACGAATTTTTTTTTTATCAGTAATTTGCGACAAATTTATTCGTGGCAAAAGTCGTCGCTAATTTTGACTTTTGCAACGAATATTATACTGGAACGAATTTAGCTATAATTTGTTATTAATTCTATAGCGACGAAGTTTGTTTGGGGACGATTTCAATTTTAAATTTAATTAGGAGCAAAATTAAATTCTAGAATGTATATTTAACATTGATTATGGAGGTATTGTAGCTCGAAAGAGAATGTACAATAATGGAGTTCCAACAAAAACAGCCCCTCCCAATCAGCACATTTTCCGAATTTACGCCCGTGAAGTTCATGAGCATGTTTCAAGCATAGAACACCATTTGGGCAATATAGAGGTAGTTACGCATAAATAAACATCATGTAATACATTGAAAACAATCAAAGAACACGAGACAACCATAGAGGTAGATGCTAATCTGCAAAAGATTATGAAAGTTGCAATGTCTCACATGATGCTATTTGATATCCAATCTTGTAATACATAGAGATAGATAAGCATTAATGAACATCATGTAATACATTCAAAACATTGAAAGGACGCGAGACAACCATAAAATATGGGCAGCTTTGGTACTCGGCAGGACACCAGGAACAGTCACTTTTGTCGACACCTGATAAAATATGGATACATAAATAAAGATATTGAATCAGTCCAGAGCTAAAAAAAACAAGTAGGAGGGTTAAAAAAAAGCGTTCCAGGACCAACATCGATGTTCTTACATTTGAATATGAGTCAACTTTCACATCCACTGTAGTTTTTTCATCCTTGTAAATCGTATTTATGTCGCCTACAAAAATTTGATCCTTTTTTCAAACCACCAATAGCTATAAGTCCCTGTAATGCAAAAATTAAAATCCATAATAGCATTGATCAGAATTTCTACATGGGCAGACAAGATAACATGCGCACTTGATACGGACAGGGCGCAGAAGAGAGACTGAATTCTCTCTCTTTTTCCCAATTGTGGCTTCTCAGAGGTAACAGCAAGAACCAAAATTCAGCATCCAAGAATTTAGAAAAAGCAAATTTAGCTGGACCAAGAAAAATGAACCCATCTGCTGGGGCATCTGAAAAAGCACTTCACTAAGAGAGGAAAAGCAAAGACATGAAAAAAGTCACTTCTTTTTGCTCAGTAAGCAAGAATTTGGTTGAACAAGCCAGCCAACATCTTTATGGTCAAGCTTTTGGTCCTCATACTTGTAAATCATTTTCGAAAAACTCCTGACCAAGGAAAAATGTAGCCACCCCAAATTTTAAAACATAATACAACAATTTATGTCAGTAGAAATCTGAAAAACAAAAATTTTCCAGTTGCTTAGGTCACCCGGACCAGAGAGATGAGAGGAATTCAAGCACAAAGTTAAACCCAAAAAACAAGAAACATACCTTCAATCAACAATTGATTGTTACTTTTCATTGTTAGAATAAAAAAATTTCTTAAACAACAATTTCTCAGCATCCAACAAAGAAGGGCCACTCAATGCTTTAACCGGATATCACAAAGGTGATAAATTTAACTGATGTTTTTTGAGCAGAAGATGTTCAAATGGATGAGAACGTGTAGTGAAATTAAGCAAGAAGCACCAAAGTAAGACGATAAAGTTTACTTAGACTTTGGGTTATTTGCATGTATATCAGTTCCACCAAAATTGAAGCAACTTTAGCAGCAAAAGAAATACATCATGGTCAGGAGGATCTTTGAAAGTAAGATAAGTGCAAAAGAGCCATGCTTGGTATACTAACATAGAACAAGCCTCATTTATCATTGAGAAATGCCCCTCACATTCACTTCCCCTGATATATCTGCCAAAAAACAGGTCAACTATCTCAGGATATTTTCATCAAGAGCATTTTAAATAAACATGCAAGTATCTCTAAATGATAAACTTACACTGTACCCGAACATTTGCCTTGCCAAACCACATCATTCTTTTTTTCTTCCTTCATTATGTCTATTATGCGACTTCCCACAACAGACCTTGGCAACTCAGTTCTGCAGCCTTTTCTTTTAGATTGACCACCAGACTGTAACTGGTCCACCACCTGCAAATTCAAGCAATTAAGCTAGCAGAATTAATGACGTAAATCGTACAATAACCAAAACACAGGTCCTCCTTAGATAGGCCCAGATCGTGCTTGTCCGATACATCCCAAGAATAAGATACATCAGCAGATGTATGCATTAGCAGAATGTGAACTAGGCATATGCTGATCCAAGAACAAGCTTTTCTTGTTTTATATTTGGGTCTCTCTCTTTTTTTCCCGCTTTCTAGGGAGAGCTAGGGGAGGGGTTAAAAGTCTTAGAATTGGATACATAAAATTGTCGTGACTTCACCCCAAAAACAAGAAACATACCTTCCTGGGTTTGGGGAGAAAAACCAGCAGAAGACAGCCTCATTTTTTTGGCAATCAGAACTGCAAAATCCAAATTTCACATAATGCTCAGAAATCTGAACTTCTTTAAGAAAATATCAACCCCGACTAAAGGAGATCCAAAATTGTGAACCTTCTTTTATTTTCACTAAAATTCTCTGGATACAAGTACACAACCCACTGCACTGACCAAGAAAAACTTTTTTTTCTTTTTAACGCGATTTTCCCTTCATAATATAACACCACACTTTTGCATCCCCATCACCTTCTCTGACAAAACCCCCAAAATAAAATCCATATCTAGGAACAAAGGACTCAAAAGTCATTTCTATGCAAATATGATCAGAATTTGAAATCAAATCAGGCATGTATTTCTACAATGTTCAAATATCATCATTTTCTGTCGCTAATTACGGCAATAATCTGGAATCTCCAAATTTTCAGTTTTTCGCAAGCATTGTACAGACATGTAAGAAAGTTGTGCACAGAAAATAATTGTTGTAAGTTGGTCCTCATAAGGTGATATTGTAGCTATTCTTTCCAAGGCAAGAGAAGATGCTGAAGCAAGCTTACCCCCAAAGAGAATAACTAGCAAGGACCGACAAAATCATCATCAGTAGCAGCAATCTCCTCATCATTGTGTTGATTATCATTGTGCCCATCACCTATTGGATTAGTGGGAGGTATACGAGGAACCTCATCGTGATCGAGGTTGAGGTGTCGCATGATCAATTGCGTTTGAGCCTCTAGAGATTTATATTGTTGTTTGACCACTCTAATTTCATCGTCCTTCTGTACAAGTAACTGTTTCAGTTGTTTCAATTCTTGGGTCATTTGCTCCTCATGTCGTGTCCTCCTTGAAACAGCTGCATAAACAGCTGCATTGGAGGATGAAGTTGCAACAGCCTTCGTTGTGTATTCCCTTGACAAGGATCCCATCCCAAATACTTTTCCTCTTTTCATTCCACCCGATGCCTCCACCCATAATACCATACTATCAATCGATGGCTCAGACGTAGCAACACCATCGCCACCACTAGCAGTGCTTATTAAAAGTTCATCATATTTTTCCTACATTAACAATATAAATGAAAATAAAATAACTTCATATATACAACTACCATAAATATTTAAATTATTCATGGTTTTCATTCTAGTTTCCATAAAATTCAAAGTATAACCTCACATACCTTAATAGCTTTTGCGCGATCGCCAGTCCATGTCTTATCTTTTTTCTGAAATGTGCGTTCAAATGTAGCTGCAAATGTCGGTTCCGTCCCCAATTCATTTGCCTACAAAATATAAATATAAATGAGTAATTATTGAATTAAATTAACTTACAACATGTTTAATAGACTTACCATTCTTTTTCTATGCTCCCCGATGTTGATAGAGCCCCCAGCATATGTGGCAGACCCTTGACTCGAACTAGAAGTTCGATTCTTCTTATTTCGTTCACTCATTTGCTTATGCTTTTCGGTGTCCCAAGTTCTCTTAATTTCCGTCCAATTGTCAGTCGTAATAAAATCCGGTTTTTCTTGACGAATCTTTGCTTTATTCATTACATTTCGCATGTGATCACCGGCTTTCTTCTTAAAAATTCTTCTAACTTCATATTCTTTCGTTTCATCCCACCTGAACTTCCGCTGCAATCAATAGAAAAACAACTGAAAGTTATTATGAGGGTCACATATCCATTACCATGCACCAGACAATTCGTGAGAAAATTCATTCTTGACCATTAGTATGCAACACCGAACTTAGTTTGTGAGAAAATAGAAGGACAAAACTTACCTTGAACTCATTCCACCACAAATCCTTTAATTCTTGTGGAGCGTTGCTGAAACTAATATATTGCCCCATCCAATAGTTATTGATTATTTTATTAAGTTCCCTCACAACATACGTAGCATCCGTGAATCTGCAATTAGGTTATAACGATATGGACAATGAAACAATGAAGCATAAGGATAATTTCCAACATGGACAATTGAGTTGACATCCATATCTAAAACCCAAAATATAACATATACTTACAAAAAATGAAGTACTTACGAATCTCCACATGGGCATATCATGCATCGGTTATCTTCTTCACCTGTGTTTCCCTCATCATTTGAGTGTTGCACTGAAGAAGGAGATGGAACGGAAGGAGATGGAACCGCAGGAGATGGAACTTGAGGGTCGGAGGAAGGGCCAATGCGTCCATATTGTCCATCAGCATGTGGTGGTTGACGGTTAGATGAAAGGGCAAGGGAAGAGGAAAGGGACGGGGACGGGGACGGGGACGAGGACGATGAAGGGGCTGGTCTTCTTTGTGAAAGTGCACCACGCATGTAACCTCCACGTTTATACTGAGAATTAGGAAGGTTAGACAAATATCTTTAAAATATGAACATGTATTAGGGAGACATAATGACGTATATCATAAAGCTTACCATTTTGTTTCAGAGAGCAAGAAATATACTTGAGGCTTTTCCGAAGCAGAAAATCTATCCTCTTAATACATAATAGAATTGTTGTAAGAGAGAGAACAAGATGTAAAGCATTAGTTCATAATCACAACTATTATAAAAGAAGATATAACACATCTTATACAATCATCTCTTTCAATAGTGATTAGCATTCATATACTATTAAAAGACTGCCATTTAGCAAAACTTCATAGTAAAGAAGGGTCAAACACATCATTCCCAAAAAACAGAGCAACATGGGAAATTCTTTTAAAATGATGTCCGTGCATAGCCTATCATAAAAGATCTACCTACAATTGAAACAGCTCAAGCTTATTCTCAGGTTCATAGTTAAGCATGCCATTACAGGACATGGACCTGGACCAACCACAAATTGATGCCAAATCGCTTGGCACAATTTGACTAAACAGGAATATAACAAAACAAATATACAAGGACCATGCGGCATTTTATTCTTTTCTGTTGTAGCAACGCAGTGTTTCTACAGGACAACTTCTTAACTACAACATGGAAACAAGGACAACTTCCAGTTTAGAGAAAATACTTTAGAATCAGTCTCCTCCGTTCCCAGACCCAAGAAATAAGTGCTGTATCAGTTGGGTTCTAAGAATCTTGTGGAAACTACTAACTGCAACAATTTACAATATATTAATTATCAAAAGAGAAAAGTTCATAGCACGGCCAAGGATAGCATTTTCTGACTAACAGTTTAATCAATCTGTGGAAGTTATTGCACACACCACACGGGCAAATGACAGAGATGCTAACATGAATCTAGGTTGTCAAGGTTCTCCGAGCTCAAATAACGAACTTAGATTACTAGATCAACAAGAACCGTGAACAAATATATTACATAGATGTTGAACGATACAAAGGAAACAAGCCACAAAGCCTGCTCGAACCAAGTCTCTCGCTGTTATCCGCCGATAATGAGTGCGTCGAGACGGGCATGCTCGCTGCGTTTCGGCTACACCGACCTAGACAGGGACGGCTCCCCGCCCGATGGCCACTTGCTCATTTCCGACTAGCATCGATTCGATCACTCGACCACCGCATCGAGCTCAGACAGCAAGAAACGAAGAACAAGGCCGACCGATGATCACCGAGCTCGAAGCCAATTGCGAACGGCACCGAAATCCCAACCAACGCGGGAAAACGCGCAGACAGCAGCTAGCTAGAAGCGGGGCCATACCTGAGCTGATGTTTGCTCGAATTCTGCCACAGAATCGCGGTCGACACCGAGGGGAAAGAAGAGGCACGTAACGAGGACGGACTACGGGAGGAGAAACGGCCGGAGGAGGTCGTCCCGGGCGAAGGAAACCGGATCGATTTCGGCGGCACCGGAAGCGGGCGAAGAATGGAGGAGGTGGAGCGAGGCCGCGAAGATTTACCCTAAATCTACCCCCCCAAAACACAGACGTCGCCGTTTCGCCACGTTAAATTCGTGGCTTATTCGAACAATTGAGGCGATTGTTAGCGACGGTTTCGGAAAAGGTCGTGAACTTGACTCGAGTGCTCTTTTCCGTCACTAATTAGCGACGGAATTAGCGACGGATTTGGAAAATAGTCGTGTTTCCGAAAAGGTCGATTTCCGTCGCTAATTCCGTCGCTAATTAGCGATGTAATTAGCGACGGATTCGATAAATAGGCGCACTGGTTCCCACAAGGTTTATTTCCGTCGCTAATTAGCGACGGAATTTGCGACGGACTCGGAAAAGGTAGCGATATGGACTCGAGCTTTCTTTTCCGTCGTGAATTCCGTCGCTAATTAGCGACGGAATCCAAACAAAGGATCATACGCCCCCAAACGTTTCTTTTCCGTCGCTAATTAGCGACGGATTCGGAAAATAGTCGTTGTTCCGAGAAGGTCGAGTTCCATCGCGAATGTCGTCGCTAATTAGCGACGGAATTAGCGACAGATTCCAAACAAAAGGCTCATGTGTGCCCCCGAAGGTTTATTGCCGTCGCAAATTCCGTCGCTAATTAGCGACAGAATTAGCGACGGATTCGCAAAATAGTCGTAGTTCCGAGGTTGATTTTTGTCGCTAATTAGCGACGGAGTTGGAAAATAGTCGTTGTTCCGAGAAGGTCGATTTCCGTCGCGAATTTAGTCACTAATTAGCGACGGATTCGACAAATGGGCGAACTAGAGCCCCCGACGTTTATTTCCGTCGCTAATTAGCGACGGAATTAGCGACCGATTCGACTAATGGGCGCACTAGGGCCCCCAACGGTTATTTCCGTCGCTAATTAGCGACGGAATTAGAGACGGATTTGAAAAATAGGCACGCAATAGTTTATTTTCGTCGCTAATTATTAGAAAAATAGTCACCATTGTGCCGTGAAGGTTTATTTTCGTCGCAAAAAATAGTCGCGATTGTCGTGAAAGTTTATTTTCGACAAAAATTACAATTTTCGCGGTAAATTAGTGATGACCCACCATATAAACAATTCGTGCCTAAGAAAATTTTGCAAATATCGTCATTCATTTTGCGATGAACATTATTTGTCGCCAATTAGCCACGAATAAGTTTTCGTCGATAATTTTGTCAATTAGCGACGATCCAAATTAAATGGAAAATAAAATATCACAAATGTCATCGCATGAATAGTATTTGACTTGTCGCCAATTAGCAACGAATTTTCCGATGACCTATTGCATTAATAATAATAACAATAATAATAATAATAATAAAAACAACAACAACAACAACAACAACAATAATAATAGTTATGACAAAAAAAATAATACATGTCGCAATAATAATAATAATTACACATAATTAGTAAAAAGTCTTAAAAATCATAATCTTCAACTTCATCTTCATCTTCGTCTTCATCTTCGTCTTCTTCATGAGCATCATCTTCATCATCTGTCTAAAAATCAGATTCTGTAAGACCTTCTAAATTTGATTCCCGAATTTCAGTTGGATCAACATCTATCATTGCTCCACATGGATCTCGTAAAGTTAGAATGTTATATTCATCAGTTTCAACCGTGTTACAAACTTCCTCTTGTTGATATGCTGTATCCTTCCAGTGTTTCTCGATTTTTCTTCGTGCTTTGGTTTTACATATAGCTCACCAATCAGCTTTATCACGTTTTAAACTAAGATATGATGCATAATATACTTGAATTGCTTGTTGTGCCAAGACAAACGGTTCATATTTCATATATATTTTCTTGTGATTTATTTCAACCAAATCAAACTTCGTATGCACCTTAATTCCTTTGATGGGGTTGAACCACATGCACTTAAATAACACAACTCGCATTAATGGTCCAGGGTACTCTATCTCTATAATTTCATCCAACAAGCCATAAAAATCATCTGTTGAACTGCCACCATTGGATGACTAAACACACACACACACCACTATTTATTGTGGCTTTTCCCATTCCATATTCTTGAGTATGAAAATTATACCCGTTTATGAAATATGCTGGCCAACTTCGTACGTTTGACTTTGGACCCCATGACAGATGATATAGCAATCCTTGCTCTTCAACTTGATCATGATTATTGTGAACCTAAGGTCACACACGCAAAGTCAATAATATATATTTTAATAAATTATGTATAAAATATTAATAACTTGATTTTGGTTAATAGGCAACTTACATATGTTTTGAACCACGCTGCAAATTTTTCATCACATAAACGGTCAAACTCATTTGGTGGTAGTCCATCCATTAAAGTTTGAAAAATCCTATTAACAAATACCATTTATATATTAGTAAATGTTTGACACACGGTACATATATATTGCAAATGTACACTTACTTGAAATATGGCTCTACTTCTGGACAGACCTCGCCCATGGCCGGCCAGGTCTAGCGACCGGCGACCGGGGAAGAAGTTACAAAAAAAAATCAACAAAATACAAAAAATTCGAATCCAGCTACGAATAGGTTTGCGACGAACCGTATTTGTCGCCAATTAGCCTCCAAATTAGCCATGACACTTACCGGCGGAAAAGCTTTACCGAGACTGATTTGCGCGTGCGGAGAGAGGTTTATCGAGAGAAACGAAAGAGGGAGAGGGAGAGAGAACAACGACGAATTTAGCATAGATAGAGAGAGAGAGAGAGAGAGAGAGAGAGAGAAAAAAAAAAAAGGGGGTGTGGGTGGGTATAATATAATTAGACGAACAAATTATGCCGTACACTTCGTCACGAATTAGCGACAGATTTTTTTTCCGTCGCAAATTTAGCCACGAATTTTTTTTCATCGTCGTAAATTTCGTCGCAAAATTAGCCACGAATTTTGTTCCGTCGCAAATTAGCGACGAATTTATATTGCATCACAAAATCCGTCGCAAAATTAGCGATAAATTTTTTTTTCATCGCTAATTAGCGACGAATAATTTTTCGTCGCGAAATCCGTCGCAAATTACCAAAGAATTTTTTTCGTCGCAAATTAGTGACGAATTTATTTTCCGTCGCAAAATTAGGGACGAATTTTTTTTTCGTCGCTAACTCCGTAGCTAATTAGCGACGAAAAATTAGTCGTCGCTAATTATGACGACTTGTGTGTCGTCGCAAAATCGGTCGCAAATTAGCGACGACAAAAAAATTCGTCGCTAATTAGCGATGAATTTATTTTTCGTCGCAAATTAACAACGAATAATTTTTCGTCGCTAATTTCCGTGGCTAAATCCTTGTTTTTTTGTAGTGGAAGAATTAGGTAAATTTGTTTCCGTTGAGCATTTATCATTTAATTTTGGAGAAAGATTTGGTTTTAATCAATTTGTACAAAAAGTTTGTGCTCCACAAGCAAAACGTGTTCCTAAAAATACAATTAAATGAGTAATTAAAGATCTTTACAAAAATGGAAAAAAAGATTTACAAAACTTTTTTATGCAATTTAATGGATGTGTGCATATGGGTAGTGATATTTGGAGTGATCATTGGCAAAATCATTCTTACATGGGCATAACATGTCATTAGATAGATGACAATTGGAATATTCAAAAAATAGTCCTCCCATTTAGAGTTTTCGATGGTAAGCATACGGCAAATAATATTTATAGAATAATTAGGCAAATTTTAGAGGAATATTGTTTGCTTAACAAAATTTTTTCAATTGGTTTTGATAATGCCGAGGCAAATACCGCTTCAATTGCCAATTTAGAAAATATTTGTAGATCCGCTTTTGGCGGAAAATTTTTTCACGTTAAATGTGCTTGTCATGTTTTAAATTTATGTATACAAGATGGTTTGAAAACTCTTGATATTTTTCTTGAACCAATAAAAACAGCGATTCAATTTTTATGGAAACATCCCCAAAAAATGAAAGAATGGAGTAGATTTTGTAAAGCAAATGGAAAAAGGCCAAGAAGATTTTCAAGATATGTTCCAACTCGTTGGAATTCTACTTTCCACTTGCTTAATGAATCTTTTGCATATAAAGATTTATTATGTGTATTCATTTCTAATAATATACCTCATATTAATTTATACTCACAAGAGTGGGATATTTGCAAAAAAAAATTAGATATTTTAAAGGTTTTTAATTATGTAACTTATACTTTGTCCGGTGTTTATTATCTTACTACGCATTTATTTTTTGTAGAGTGTATTAATATTGTCGGAGTTTTTGAGGAATATGAAAATGATGTTGAATTACAAAATACTATAGTAACAATGAGAATGAAATGGCTACATTATTATAGCGAAATTCCTATTATTTATTTAGTTGCTTGTGTTTTTTATCCACGTTGCAAATTAGATGGTTTAGGTGATTATTTGCATATGTATTATCAATGTTTACATTATAATACAATAGATGTTACAACCATACTAAGGGAGGTTAAAAACGTAGTAATAGAATTATATAATGAATTTTGTACTAAGGGAGGTGATATTGGATTTTCTCAATCTACCGAGACACAAAATGAGAGTACAGATAAAATTAGTAGAGGGTACCAACTTTTATTACATAGACAAAAAAAGCAAAAGGGAGTAATAGGAAACATTTCTGAATTAGAGATGTATCTAATCGTTTCTTTTGAGTTTTCTGAATATGAAGGTAGTATAGGTTTTTTAATTTTGGATTGATGGAAGAGGCACGCAAGCCAATACCCAATCCTTTCTCTTATTACAAAACAAATTTTTACAAACAAGCATTCACGAGATAATATTTTGATGAACAACGTTCAAGATTAGTTCCGAATGTGAAAGCTCAGCTGCGTCGATGATTGACGAAGGCTCACATCAACAACAAGAGATAGATCGAAATAATGAACGAATCTTTGACGACGAGATACGCCACTACCATCGATCGTAACGAGTACACGACGAGGTAAAAGAACCGCATGAATTTTGATTCTTCTATCCCCAAGAAGATATGTAAAGCGCTTAATGATAATTCATTAAGTTCAAGCCCCATCTCTTTTTTTTTTTTTTTTGGTAACCGAGGTGTCCGGGCCAGCTTGCGCGCACCTCGACTATTCCTCAAGGGAGACTGGCACAGCAACCCACCGCCATAGCCCCTCACTTAAATCACAAGTGCTCAGTTGGGGAATTGAACTTAGGACCAGTGCGCCTAACCACACAATCCCAAGTACGCCATAACCAACTGAGCTACCCATGGGTGGGTAAAGCCCCATCTCTTTCTCTCTTTTTTTCCCCAAATTTGATTACAATGTACATTTTGATTACATTTTATATTGAATAATTCATTATTTCATAATTTGATAATTCATTATTTGTTTATTTCATAATTTATTTTTTTAATTTTTACCGGCTGGTTCCAAACCGGCCCGGAACCGCCGGTTCCAGTTCATACATGGCCACGAACCAGAACCGCCGGTTCCGAACCGTGGCCATGTCTAACGGAGTGTTCCGTTCGAGCTGAATGACTGTCCGTGGATTCTCGATCTTGGATGGGTCCCTAGAGTCGACACTTTTGGGAAAGGCAAACCTGTCTCTGCAGTTCCGCCGGCATCTCAACATGAAGATCGCTCTTTGCACACAAGGATTGTTTCGTGAGCTTGTCATGCTTCGAACTCGTGACCTCGTAGGAAGACAGTAGTCACTTATGTCATAAGCCCGAGGTCAAAGTGGCCCGCCCCTATGGTACATTATGGGCCAACCTTAACCAGCTTGCATCGGCTGTTGAAGATCCATGTTTGCTTATTGCGCAAGCCCAAGGTACAGCCCGGATTGTGTAGAATTAGATTTCAAATTAAAAGATCCCACAACTAAAGATTGCTGCTAAAGCTTGCAACAGAGCACAGGACAATATCAGTCCATAACAAAGCCAATCGTCCAATTCAAGGGCACAATTCCGAACCGCCGACTTGACTGCGTACGTACAATAAGACTTCACCTAAAGAATGACAGGCATGGCTTCTAAGTCGACACTCGCTGGTGATTCGAAATTATAGTTAACAACAGGATCATAAGACCCCCACGATGTTAATAATGCTTTAAAGAAATCTAAGATTTTATTTGGGGTTCACTATATGCCCACAACCTTCAAAAAAACAATATTGTAGAAAATTTCATTCCATGCCGACTTGATAGATTATGAAATTGGACAACAAAAAAAAAAGATTATCATCCTGGATTGCATTGAGTCACATGTAACTTACCATGCTTCTCAACCTCTAATAATTGGCTGCATATCTTGGCATGCCTAAATACATTCCCATGTTGACTTATTTTAATATAGTTCACTCTCTCTCGTTAAGAGATTTTTAAACACATCTCGTTGCATTTCTGTCATTGGAATTCAATGAGTTTCACATGAGATTCACATAATTTAAGGTGACAAAATGCGGTGCGAGCACTCGTTGAGTGCACCAAATGTTTTCTCCACGAAACTACGCGCAGCATAACTACTATAGATGAAGGTTAAATTAGGGCTTTGTACTCTCTTGTCGCCAAAGAAGTGTGTAGATTTTAGGTATATTTATATATTCGGTATCTGACTTAAGGGTGAGGAAAAAACAAAAGAAACAGAGTAGATTTGGCAGGCATGGTGGCTTTCATCATGCGATAATATTGAAAACAAAATAATTTACATGCATTCGAAGCTCCGAACCCACTTCATCTCAACCATCGAAGACTTTCAAACGTCGATATTGTCAATGAAACAGTGCACGGGAAAAGTGGGAAAAGAAAATCGCGAAGCTCACTCCACGGGACCGTATAAATATATCAAATTGAACGGGACACTAGCAAAATTCACCACCAGCAAAGATTTCAAGAAAAAAATATGTAAAAAAAACAAGAAGCTTGATTTGTCAAGAAAGAATCTCGTTTTGGTAAAGAAGCTCAAAGATTTCTTCCCCTGGCTTCTTTGACATTCCTAACGCTAAGCAACAGAGTGTCCAAACAACCGTCCCCCGAATCGCCTACCCAACGCAAGACAGAGAACTCGAACGTGTATCAATTTACATGCAGAAGGCCCACTGAGCAAGAGACCCCCCCAGAAGAAGAACGATAGAGGATTTGCATGTAAAGAAGATGAGCTCAATGCCTCTGCTCCTGCAGAAGCCGGAGGGCTTCTCCCAAAGTGGGTCTGAACCTCCTGACATCGAGCTTCACGTTTTGGTTGTCCAGGTAAATCTTCTTGAAATCGTCCCATTTGCCCTTGTGGAACGCGCGTGGATCTCTCAGAGCGACGTGGTCAATTGGGTATTGATCCAGCAGCGTGCTCTCTCTCACGCCAATCTTGTACTCCAGGTACCTCAGGTTCATGTCCCTTGAAGGGTCGCCGAAGTATGTTCTTGAGAGCCAATCGCCCGCCAATGGCACGATCTGGATCAGAACTGCGTTGTCCGGTAGGAACACCATATTGGTCAGCCCCGCCCCGTGGACCCCCATCACCGCATCGCACGAGTTCATGAGCTCGGCGAACCGCGGCACGTTCATGTCCGCCTCCGCCACCACCGCCTCGAACCCCACGGCCTTGGCCATCTTCGCGATCCTTGCGGGATTCGTGAAGGATCTCGTACGTTTCCGTGCTACGATCAGGAGTCGGGGCTTTCGAGGGTCTCCGGCCCGCAATTCGATTGCTTTGCTCCGTTTTAGTGAGTAGGAGGTCCTCAGGAAATCCCTGAAATCACTCATTGTTGTGTGGGGAGGCATGGAAGGGTTGATTTTGAAATCGTCGTGGCGGTTGAGCCCCACAATCACGCTCGGGAAGCAATGCACCTGTTCCTTTTCCTGGTCGATGTTGATGGCCGGGTACTTGGAAAGGTTTTGAAAGATCGCTCTGAACTTCGAGACCCACCAGGAGCGGTAATTGGTCACGAGGAACTGCACGTCCCCGTTAAACGGCCTTGCTGTCAGGTAGAGCGGGACTAAGATGTCGCTGAAGTCGTGGAAGTGGTTCCCCGAAAATCCACCGACCGAGAAAAGGATGGCCGGGGTAGAATGGTTTTGGGTGCACTTAGGAATTTCGCGTCGGCCCTCAGATGCGGGGAGCACGGACCATTCCGTGACCGAGCTCATTGCTGTCCGGTCGGATTTTCTCGCGTACGGTCTTACCTTCCATGAGGTGTGTCCATCATCCTGAGTGGCCATTTCAGGGGAAGAGGCATAGACTGTGTACGATTTGGCATGGACCCTAACTTCACCAGCGATGTCACATACATCTGTTCTTGGATTCAGAATGTTGCACAGCGGCTCTCTTTTCCGCATCACGTTCTCTGCAACAGCGAGTTCATGAGCCAAAGAACTCACAATGCGGCACGTAAAGTTCAGAACATATCCAATTATCTAGGAAAATTAAGTACGTGAATTGACCTGCTATAGACAATGAAGTATCCTGGTGATCAGTGGAATTCAGCGGCACTGATTCCTCAATTTCCACTGCTGAGAGATTTACCGACAACGGTAATCAGAATCGTAGCTGAATGAAGACATCTAGATCAAGATGTAAACTAATGCCGCTCAGAGTTTGAAGTACCTGGGCGTTCTGTGTTATTCAGCAGTACCTCTGGACCGGCTTCCATGCTGGCATTTTTCACAACTGCAAGATTGTAAAAAACAGTCTTAATTAACCCATCAGAGCATTGAAGATATTCAGCAGAGTTTTGAATATAGACTAGTTTGTCAACCGAAATGACATACCATGGCGATCTGTGGAATTGACCAGTATCTCTGGTTTCGTTATTGTTTCATTTTCTGCAAAATACAAGATTTAAGTCAGAGACAGCGGAGTTTTCAAGAGCATGAGTTAACGGATTAGTCAGTCAGTGTCAGTACCTTTGGGGTATGTGGAATTGAGTCGAAGCTCCGGTTTCGTTGTCACATTTTCTGCAAGTACAAGATCGTAGATGATTGGCGATCATTCTGTCCGTATACAGATTGAAATGAAACGAGGACTGATCATGAATGTCAACTAATTCAATAGTGCGAATACCCTGGTGACTAGTGGAAATGGGCAGCAGCTCCGGTTTCGCGGTCGCCTTTTGTGCAACTGCAAGATCAAGCAGAAGAGTACTCAGAATAAAGAAATATCAAAATTCATCAGCCACTACAGACTTCGTTCATCCAGAGAACTTGTCTGGCTTTGAGGACATGCGTGCTTACCAGTGATCATCTCTTGCTTCTGAGAACTCTCTGTTTCCTTGGTCGCAAACATCCTTTGAGCAATGCCCATTGACAACCGCATGTTCACTGCAAAATCAAAGCAAGACTTAATACATTTTGCAAAGTAAATACTTCAAGAAAATGCAACGAAGCAAGAACGCTGCATTACAAATAAAGGGCATTCTTCAAGTAAAAAAAAATAGAAAGCTTGTTCTCAAAGTCACACTACGGAACACAAAGTAAGGCACTTACAAATTGGTAAAGGACCCAAGTAAGGCTTGAAGACAGTGAAGAAGCTCAAGAAAATGAGCAAGCACCCAATAAGCGCTCCATATCTGAGCTTCCTCTGCTCGTACCGGCTAAAACTCCTCGCCAATATTGCTTCGTACGTCATCTTTGTACTCTGCAAAACTAGTACCTGCCAATGCACATTCCAGAGAATTTCGCCGAAAAATCTCGCGCTCGGAGGCCTTGAAGAGAGCCTGATCAATGACGATGCATATGAAGTTCAAGAAGAGCCCAGTTCTTCTTTCTGCATTTTCAAATTCTGTGATCAGGCCTTAAATGCCATTTTGCATGATAACGTGAGACATAAGGTGGGAAGTTGAAAATACATTTCGCTTGACGAATTATTGCTCCTCACGTTGTCCTTAGCTCGGGGTGATTGATACTATTCTTCCAAATCATCTATGAAAGAAAGGAATAGGAGGTATCTGAAAGGGACTTTGGGGGAGGGGTTGACTTCTGAGACAAAAACACATCTCTTTCAATGATTGGCTTGTGTAAGTATTGAACATTTCGCCTTGCATGAATGTTTGAGAAGTTGATGAAAGAAGGGCCGGCATGTGTGGCTGCTACGTTGGGTATAAAGCTAACCAAACTTAAAATGAGTTTGCAGAGAGATTTTGACAGTGAGTCTGACATTGAATGTAATAAAAAATCATATAGAAGTCGTAAAATATTGACACTACTGCTCATGACTCACCAGCGATGACTTGTAGTAACGATTGGATGTGACTACTCACATGGTTTACCACCAAATCCCGACAACAGACATTAGACATGCATACATTTGGTCTCTCTCAGTTAACCACTGCAAGAAAAAGCAGGAGTAGGAAATTTCTTATGAAGCATTGTCTCAAGCTAGAAAGCATGGTTACTTTTTTTAACAAGGCTGAAACATGTGTGTGGACTTGAAACTTTTGAGCTGAATATTCATAAAAACCCGTTGCGCTCTTTTTTCGGTCTTCTCGTGTGTTGGTATCTTGATATTTGGATGAATTATTCATCGTTCGTTGGAAACTATGCATCCTTTTCATTCGAGCGTGTACTAAAAGTTTGCACCCATTCACATTCGACCTCTTTCCCTGGTGATTACGTGCGTCCGTGACTATTTCCTCCCAGGCTTCTAGCAAACAACGAGGAGAGAAGGGGGTGAAATGGATAATTTGACTAAAGCAAGTGATCGATCGATCACGATCAAGCTCATCTATCGTCGATGCTCCCGAATCGAACTCAAAACCTCACGCATCTTGAACCGTGAATCCGATTAACGATCCCTTTTCGAGTTTGATCAATTGCTAATTAATCAATTAAGGGCTTAAGAGCTTGGCTTAGGCTCCATGATTTGGCTAGTTGGGGGAGTGCAAATCCCGACAAGGGGGTAGAGGGAGGGTGGGAGCAAGACGTGTCAACCACAAATCTCTTTTGGGGTTTAGTTGAGGGAATCATGATTTCAATTAGTCATCGGAGTAGGAAAGCTCTAACAATCATGGGATTTTCTTAATGAAAAAAAATCTTGGATTCTTCTCAAAAACCAGAACCAGTACGTGTGTGTTGTTCAAACTAATTATGCTCTTTTTAGGTTTGCCTTGTCTGCAAGGAAAGGGGAGGGGGAAGAACAAGCCAAGAAAAGAAAAATTAGGGTTTGTTGGGGTGGCATTTTCACTCAATAATGCACGTTCGGGCACAGTTCTTATGGTCCACAGCCAGCCTCTTAAGCTCCAATATTTTTTTTGGGGGAGAAGGGGGAGGAGGCAGCAGGGGGCCCCCCCCCCCCCCACGCAGGCCCCGGAAAGCGGCCCGGCCCGTGGAAGAAGAGAGGGGGGGGAAAGGCGCAACATCTCTCTCCATTTACAAATATTTTGGACCCCTACCGCACCGAAATCATTTGAACTCAATTAGGATCCGAGATGATCTCGACGGAAAAGTCAATGGTAGGTGATAAATTTGTTTACACCCTTTTTCAATTTGTGAATTTATATATGGAAAGAGCATAGCTTAAGTGCAAATAATGAGCTTTGATTGGTTTGTTTCGATTTTATATAATTACTTGCTAGGGTGGCACGAACCATAATGCAGAATTTTTATGTACCTCTTGAGAGCTCATTTTGCTAAAATAAATTAGTTTTGCCCCTAGAAATGAAAACCCGCCAATATGTATTAGCAATACTATTCGAATATAAAACACGAGACGGCCGCAAATATTTCTTTTCTCCCCATCATTTGCAAAATACATTGTCGCCCTGAGATCCAAAAATCCCGTAATCGATTTAACCCGATTGACTTTCATTACTCCTTTTTCTAATGGTCCGGCCGATTGGATCTCGAACGCTAACTTCAAAGACTATACAGGAGCGACATATGTGCATTACGCCGGTAAATCAAGTCCTATGATGGCTGAAAAAATCAAAATCCTATTATTTTTGTGGGCTAAGACGTGTGAACCAAAACATTCTTTGCAATTCCATCTGTTTTTAACCATAGTCCAATATTATTAATTTATTGCAATTCTCAATTTGGATCGTGCATTACCGACAGGCCGGTTTGGTTAATCTATGTATATTATATGATCGATTGATTGATCCTCCTGATTCTCCGGCTTCTATCGAGATCATGACCTGCACATATCATAGGTTGGTGGTGTATACATATGTTATATTGTCCAATAAATCAACATTTGTAGCTAGCTACATAGTGAAGGTCTTAACTGCGAAGTCAAACACCGGTTGGTGGAAGTAAGTATGCTCATCACATGGCGTACTTAGAGACTCAATCATTCGATCAATCGCTCTCGCACCGGTTCGGTTCCTCGTGAATCTCGGGTTAATGACGTTAAGAATCGGGATCTTTTGTGAACTGAATATCGAAAAGAGAATTGTATAATCTCGGATTAGAGAGATTCCTAGTCGAGGAATCGAGTATGGTTCGAAAGCTTTGAATGAAGAAACATGTCGAATTATACGGAAGGGAGAGGGTGATTAAGAAAATGTTTAGAGGTTGGTTAGTGGAGTTTTTATATGTGAAAATTTGGGATTAAATTAAGTGGGGCGCGGCTGATTCTTTTGAACGGGTGTGCATGTATTACCAAATAGAATCAAATGAAGCACCGGCAAGATGACATCGACTTATCTTTTTCTTGTTTTTTTCTTTTTGGTTTTTTCGGTGTCATATTGATGTACATATGTGCTAGCTAGAATCCCGCAATTGTTACCTTAGGAGTTTTTACTCCCGATGCGCAATTTTCATCTGGAACTGGCAGTTACCGCCCATCAGCCCGTGATGCCGGATCCGGGGGTCCGGGACCGCCGGAGCTTGGGTAGGCCTCGAGACGGGGCGAGAGCTTGTTATCGTAGGCACATCTAATGTCTTACATGAAGAGAAATATGTATGTAAACCTAGGTCATGGAAATACTAAGTTTGGTTTCCAAATTGTTTTCCATGCAACATCGAAAAATTTCTATCGTTAGTCCGTCGTTTCGAGGTCACCTCCATCAAAATGGTAAACTCCAACATGCTCGGGGATTCAATGCGATCGTTCTCATTCGTGAAGCCGTATCGAACTCGCCCCTTTTTATCTCGAAGAAAATTAAAAAATTAAATTCAGTAAAAGTATGAAAAAGAAAACTAAAACCTAAATAAGCACGTCTTCATTTATTTAAGAACCTTCCTCGGGGATCGAAAGCGGCCGAACGAAGGGTTTATATTAATTTATTTCGCATTCGTCACGATCGGTTGTTGGATTAAAATAATTTCGTGAATTTTTTTGTTAAATTAGTATAGAGATCAAGAGATCATGCTCACGTAGAGGCAAAATTCTTGCCGACAGTCTCGAATGATCAACGATCGACTCACGTTTTTCACCCACAGCTGGAGCACTGTGATCGTCCAACTAATTTCGGGGCAAATTGTTCGTAAGCAATCCGAATGTTGAACGTCATTTTTCAATTTCAAAAGTGAAATTGATGCGTATTGAACATTCTTAGAGCGTCAACTAGTCACGAGAAGTTTAGGTCACTCTCTCTTTGGCATTGTACAAGAGCGCGGCGTAGTAAAGCTCGTCGAAAAAATTAAATAAACCTCGATAGTTTGATTAAGGGGGAAATTGGCCAGCCTCGCTATAGCTGGGCAAGGCCGAGGCTCGGTCTCGAGAGATGCACGTCACGTTAAGGCTCGTTTGAAATAATTGAAATCTCGATAGTTTAAGTAAGGGGGAATTGGCTAGCCTCGCCTTGGCTGGGCGAGGTCGAACCTTGCCGGCCCTCGCCTCTGGCTGGTTGTCGGCTATTGCCAATGCTCGGCAACTGGCTAGCAGATGAAGAAGGGAAGAAAAAAAAAGAAAAAGCAAAGAATAAATAAATAAATTCGAAAAATATTATTAAAAATTGTACACGTCAGCGTCGGCCATCCTAGGTGGCACGATATCCACGTCATCGATTTCCAGCTAAAATTGGCTAGATGGACTCGATTGACAAAAGATGTAAAGGTTTAGGACTGAACTGGTAAAAGTGCAATAAGTTTAGGATTTTTTGGACAATTTTCCCATATGTTGTGCAAACGCCAACTTAATATCAAACTTTCCCAATTCTGCCAATTAAATCCTGAACCTTTATATAAAGTACCAATATAGTCATTTCGGCTAATTTTCTAGCTGATATAGCGGTGTGTCACGTAGGACGGCCATCGCCACAACTCGGCGAAAATTGATTGAAAATACTACATTGGTATTTTATACAAAAGTTAAAGATTCAATTAGCAAAATTGGAAAATTTATAACTGAATTGGCATATGTACGATCGGTTTAAGACTGATCGGGTTATTTTTCATTTTAATTAAGCGTTGGCAAAAAATGGGAGAGGAGAAATCTAGGGTTTTTGCCTGCTTTTCGATATTCCATGTCAATGTCATGTAGTTAGTAACTTTTAGTCAAAGCGGTGGCTAACCACGACGAAATCAGCAGCTTCACTTCGAGTCAAAGATCCAGAAGAGCAATCCAACTAAAATTGCTGAAATGCAATGTGCTTTTTCTCCATTGAATTTCGCAGCGGTTGTGCAATGCATCGATCAACTTTATGAACACCAACCGTGCGTTGTAATCAAGTGGTGCTAATGACGATGAGAACACGTTAATGACGCAACAATTGATGGTTGACTAAAAAAAAATATATACTTGGTCTAAGGAAAGGAGTATATATAAATATACTTGTAGCACTCGCAATGCCGGACTTGTGTAACGAGTGTCGATAT